CACTTGCTCTCCTCTTGACTTTACTTGTACTGTGACATATATATATACCTGCTCTTGCTTGTCTATTTTTATATATATGTCTGTACTCCTGCATGTGAACTGGCCTCTGGCCCTGCTCTTGTGCTCGGACTGTGTGGTGACTTTGTGATCCACCCTGAGCTTGCTTTGCTTTGCTTGACTGGTCTTGTGACCCCTTGTTCTCCCCCACTTTGCCTATGGGGGTGTGTCAAACATTATATATGTTATGCTTGTGTAGGCTACAGTGGGTTAGCCTATAGGGGGTACACAATTCTAGGGTTTACTACTTGTACTCATTTCACTTCTAGTTCATTCATTCCTGTTCGCTTATTCTCACACACTTCTTTCACCTGGTATAGAGCGGGTCCTTCCTTAAAGCTGCTGAGCCAGGGGGTGCTGAGCTGGGAGCTGCTGATCCTGGGGGTGCTGCGTCTGGAGCTGCTGAGCCCGGGGTTTCTCCTGCTGCTGCGTCTCGCCGGGAGCCCCTCTCTCCCCAGGAGCTGCGCGAGTGGTTCGCTCGCCGCTGGAGGCGTGCTGCTGAGCCTGGAGGTGCTGCTGGAGCTGGAGCTGGAGCTTCTTCGACCGTCGAGGGTGCGGGTGCTGCCGGTCCCGGAGCTGCTGGACCTGCGGGTCCTCCTGGAGCTGGAGCTGCTGAGGGCGTTGGTGCTGAGCCTACTGCTGTTGGTCCTGCCGCTGGAGGTGTGGGTGGCGCTGGTGCTGTCGCTGAGGGTGCTAGTGCTGTCCCTGCTGCGTCTGGAGCTGCCGCGCGGCCTCGGCCGTACTTCGTTCCGCTCCTGCAGCAGGTTCTTGGTCTTTCTCCTCCAGTAGAGGGTCCACCGCCTGTCCAGTCGCAGTCCCTGCTGGAGCCTTCCTCTCCACTGCCTGCTCCCTCTCCTTACACTGGTCCTACTGGAGGTCTTGCTGAGCGTCGTGAGCCTGCGTCTCGTCCCGCGTCGCCTGTTCCTGCTGCTCGCGCTAGTGGTCGCAGTTCGCGTCAGCGTCCTCCTCCTGTCCCTGGCACGCACCGGATGTCTTTGCGTCCGTCCACTGCTCCTCTGCGTGCCCCTTTGCCTTCTCCTCCTGAGTCCTCTCTTCCTGCGCTTGCCGACCCTGAGTCGGACTCTCTTCGTGCTGCCAGTCCTACTCTCACGCGTCTGCTTGCTACTGTCGTCACTGACCCCTCTTTTGAGTCCACTGCTGCGTCTGCCCTAGTTGCTGAGCTCGTCGACTTTGCTGCTCGCTGTCGTCTGGACTACGCTGCTAGTCTTGTTGCTGAGTCTGCGTCTGACTGTCCTCCGTCCGTCGGGGTGAGTGTGCTCTTGGCACGGACGTCCTAGAGGACAGGCAGGAGGAGTTACAGTGTCTAGCGGCTGCTTCACCTCATCTAGCGTCTGTACTGCTTGCCCCTGAGGGAGACCCGGATGCACTAGACATCCCGACTCCGCGTTCTTACGCGGAGGCCGTAGAGGGTCCCTACTCCTCTCAGTGGCAGGCAGCTATGGATGTAGAGATGGCTTCCTGGAAGTCCACAGGCACCTACGTTGACGCGGTTCCCCCTCCTGGGGCGAACATCGTCAGTGGCATGTGGATCTTCAGGGTGAAGCGGCCGCCGGGCTCTCCACCTGTCTTCAAGGCACGGTACGTTGCTCGTGGCTTCAGTCAGCGGCAGGGAGTTGACTACTTTCAGACCTTCTCTCCCACCCCGAAGATGACTACTCTTCGGGTGCTGCTGCACATAGCCGCTCAGCGCGACTACGAGCTTCACTCTCTCGACTTCAGCACTGCGTTCTTGCAGGGTAGCCTGCACGAGGAGATCTGGCTTCGCCGTCCACCTGGCTTCACTGGGACTTTCCCTCCTGGCACCCAGTGGAGCCTCCGACGGCCAGTCTACGGTCTCCGACAGGCACCGCGAGAGTAGCACGACACACTGAGGACTACGCTTGCGGCTCTTGGGTTTGCTCCTTCTACTGCTGACCCGTCGCTGTTTCTTCGCACCGACACTTCCCTGCCGCCGTTCTACATCCTCGTGTACGTCGACGACTTGGTCTTTGCCACAGCAGACACTGCTGGACTCGCCTACGTGAAGTCCGAGCTGCTGAAGAGACACACGTGCACAGACCTGGGTGAACTGCGCAGCTACCTTGGCTTGCAGATCACTCGGGACAGAGCACGCCGCACCATTACCTTGACTCAGTCACACATGGTGCAGCAGGTCCTTCAGCGCTTCGGCTTCACGTACTCCTCGCCTCAGGCCACTCCTCTGCCTACTCGCCACTCACTCTCAGCTCTGCCTTCGGATGAGTCCGTAGAGTCGAGTGGTCCGTATGCAGAGCTTGTTGGCTGCCTCATGTACCTGATGACCTGCACACGACCTGACCTTGCATACCCTCTGGGCATTCTTGCACGCTATGTTGCTCCTGGGAGACACAGACCAGAGCACATGGCTGCAGCAAAGAGGGTATTGCGCTACCTGTGCAGTACGTCGGGCATGGGGCTAGTGCTTGGAGGGCGGAGTCCAGTGGTCCTTACTGGCCACGCGGACGCTTCTTGGGCTGACGACCAGGCTACGCAGCGGTCGTCATAGGGTTACACCTTCAGCCTTGGTTCAGGCTCTGTCTCGTGGCGGTCTACTCGCATGTCTTCGGTTCTCGGCTCCAGTTGTGAGGCTGAGATCTACGCCGGGGCCATGGCTGCACAGGAGCTTCGCTGGCTCACCTACCTGCTGACTGACCTTGGAGAGCCGCCTCGTTCTCCTCCAGTGCTGTACGTAGACAACAAGGCCATGCTGGCCTTGTGTCGAGAGCAGCGCTTGGAGCACAGAACGAAGCACATTGCTCTCCGCTACTTCCTTGCTCGTGAGCTGCAGCAGCGTGGTCAGTTGCGACTTGCGTACGTGGCCTCTGAGGCCAACACTGCTGATGTGTTCACCAAGGCACTCGCGCCTTGTGACCATCAGCGCTTTTGCACCCAGCTGGGTCTTGTGCCTGTCTTGCCTCACTTGCTCTCCTCTTGACTTCACTTGTACTGTGACATATATATATCTACCTGCTCTTGCTTGTCTAGTTTTTATATATATGTCTGTACTCCTGCATGTGAACTGGCCTCTGGCCCTGCTCTTGTGCTCGGACTGTGTGGTGACTTTGTGATCCACCCTGAGCTTGCTTTGCTTTGCTTGATTGGTCTTGTGACCCCTTGTTCTCCCCCACTTTGCCTATGGGGGTGTGTCAAACATTATATATGTTATGCTTGTGTAGGCTACAGTGGGTTAGCCTATAGGGGGTACACAATTCTAGGGTTTCCTACTTGTACTCATTTCACTGCTAGTTCATCCATTCCTGTTCACTTCTTTCACATGCTGGCGTTTCCCTGCCTCTGAGACTTCCCCCCCTGCTCTGCTCCGCGGCGCCTTAGCTCCTCTGGGCATTCGCTCTTGCGATGGCCCGGCCTGTTGCAAGCAAAGCAGCGCCCCTTAAACGGTGCGGCAGCTGCATTCGTTGCAAAAGCGTTTACAGTGGCGTGCTCGATCGGTCCCCGAGGACGATGTCCGTAGTAGGACCCCGGTCTCGGTCGGCGTAGAATGTCGATTTTCTCGGCGAGCGCGAGAATCTCGTTGAAGCTTGAGAGTCCGCGCAGCATGATTTCGTGCGAGATATCCGACTTCAACCCTCCGACGTAACGGTCCACCCGCTCCGCTTCGTGCATGTAGCCGACCTGCTCGCAAAGTGCGAGAAAACCGCTCGTGTAATCTTGAGCCGACCCGAGCTGCCGCTAAGTGCGCAATCTCTGACGCGCCGAAATAGAAGCCGCGATCGGCTCGAAGCGCGCCCGAAGCCCTGCGCACCACGCATCCCACGTGCTGTACTGGGCGGTCTCGCAGAATGAACTCCAGGTGACAGCTGGACCCGTGGACCCTTCCTCTTGCGACGGTGGCTCGTAGGCGCGTGGCGACGTCACGATGACTCGCCACCAGTCCATGGCGGGGCCCCTTAACAGCGAAACGGCATACCGAATCTTCGCTGCGTCCGACTCGACGTAATTCGCGTCGAAGAAGACGTTCATCATGAAAACCCACGATTGAACTGTCGGACCTCCACGTTGGCTTGGGTCGAAGCAGGGCGGGCGTTGCGGCTTGAGTGGCATGGGTGCCATAATGGCCTGTTCGCCACTTGTCGCCGCGAACTCCACGTGCCGACGGGCTTCACGAGGCTCCCGCGGGCTTGGTGCGACCCTGTTTCCTCCCATGCCAGGCACCGGCTGGGCGGCGCCATCACTGGCTGCGCCTGAGCGCTGTCCCACGCTGTCGTGTTGCGTTGGTGTGCCGGACGAAATGACGATCGGCTCGTCCGATTGTGCAGATGCATTTGTTGGTGCGTGTGGTGGTGCTGGAATGTTCAATGAGTAGCAAGAGTACAATGAGCGGAGGCATGAGCGAAGAATATATAGCGAAACTACAGTGGTAACGGTAATGGACTGTGGTTGTCGTGCGACGGGCCTGGGACTGAGGTTGGGAAAAGTGTCGAAGCGGAGGCCCGGAGCGCGGGTTACCCGCCGAGCCGTGAGGTCGGGGTGCGACGTGCGAAGGTGGCGGGCGGATTGTCGATGCGAGGATTGCGAGTGGTAACGGTGCTGACTGTGGTGCTACAGTGATATACGCGTTGAGCAGGGATGCGAAGTAAGGAAACAGAGATTTTACAAGTAGAAACCTGGTTCAGGAGGTCCGCAATGACTCAAACTGCTTATAGCGAGGCAGAGTTCTGACATGTCCCCGCCATTTTCAACTTCTTGTACCATCTCCGTTGCTGCGGCATAGGGAATACAAATCTGCTATAATTCCAGAATACGGATCTGTCACTGTGCTAGTTAGTGGAAAGCTAGTCGTATACGCCGTGCATCATCCCGGCTAGCATATCCCGTCTACTCGCTGCGTCTACCATATCTGGCTAGCATCCTCCCGGCTTCCCGACAATCGACGCCTAGCAGCCATGGTTCTCGAGGTATGCTGGTAACAAATTAACTCAATTCCAGTTTCGTTGCAACCAAATCGTTGTTCGTCCTGAAGATCCGTGCTCGCTCTGGCGATCCTTGGCAAGTGAAACCTTGCATCGGAGTTTCGAAACGTGATCCGACGTCTGGGAGACGTTTGTACACTCGCGTTATGAAGAGAATATTAAACGGGCTAGATTCGACGCATCATACGCGGTATAGGCTTCGGCCGTTATCTCCACGATGACTCGTGTCCACAACTCCGCGTAGATGAGATTGGCTCGGTAATCCCGAGGATCCATGCTGACGTGATGCTCACTTCTGGCGATGCCTTTTCCCACCCCGCTCATCACCCCCAGGCCTGCATGGCGTGTATCCGCAATCTGCTTGGCGCGTGGTTGCCGCGGCAATCCCGAGGATCCATGCTGACGTGATGATCACTTCTGGCGATGACTTTTCCCGTCTCACCTGTCTCTTCACTTCCCCCCTCCCCCTCCCCATCCTCCCTCACACAACAGGCCACGGTAGTGTGCGTGGGAAATTCGGAGTGAATGCGTTTTTCGCTCAACATGCTGTATTCTGTCTTTTCCCCGCCAATCCCCGTCCCTCCGCCACCCCCCGTCTCTACCCTCACTGCCATCCCCCAGGCGACGGTGGTGTGTGTGGACAACTCTGAATGGATGCGAAATGGCGATTACGCGCCGTCGCGCTTCCAAGCGCAGGCCGACGCCATTAATCTCATCTGCGGCGCCAAGACGCAGGTGAGCAGCGGCCGAGACGCAGGTGAGCGAGCGACGCGGGGAAGCTTCGTGTTTGATTGAGCATCGACTTGTGTGACATTTCAAAAGATGCAGGTGTGCTATTTGAGGAAGCATTTGCGCGTGAGCGACACGAGAGCTGAGTTTCGTGTCATGGGAGAACGCAGTGGGTATGCCTCAGGCGCCTCAAATCTCGCGCCCTCTTACTCTTACCCACCACACTCCTCCACCCCCACTCCCCCTGTCCCGCCGACGCATGGATGGCAGTCGAACCCGGAGAACACGGTGGGCATTCTGACGATGGCGGGTAAGGGCGTGCGTGTGCTCGTCACCCCCACCGCCGACCTGGGCAAGATTCTCTCCACCATGCACGGTGCGTCTCTCATTCCTTTTTAAACGGAAGAACAAGTATTTTCCTCTATGCATGGTGCGTCGGGCACAGTTGGTGAGACGCTGGTACGATGTACTCATTTTGTCCCCACCCCACCCCTTTCCTTTTCCCCCGTGCATTCTGTGACTGTGATGCTCCAGGTCTGGAGGTGGGGGGAGACACGAATCTGCTGTCAGGCTTGCAGGTGGCGCAGCTGGCATTGAAGCACCGGCAGAACAAGAACCAGCGCCAACGCATCGTGCTCTTCATTGGCAGGTGCGTTGTTACTTAGCTCATAGTTGGTTTCATTGGCAGGTGCGTTGTTAGTTAGCTCATAGTTGGTTTCATTGGCAGGTGCGTTGTTAGTTAGCTCATAGTTGGTTTCATTGGCAGGTGCGTTGTTAGTTAGCTCATAGTTGGTTTCATTGGCAGGTGCGTTGTTAGTTAGCTCATAGTTGGTTTCATTGGCAGGTGCCCTCTAAGCTGGTGGGTGTGTTGGAGGGTCCACGAACAGTTGGCTGGAGCACTGGCAGAATAAGGACCATCATGCTCTTGATTGGCTGGCAGGTGCGTTCCCACCTGGAACTTAAATGCGTGTGAGTCCTCTGGTAGGCCTCTGTTGCAACTGAACCATGAGCAATCTGCCGACCATGTGGACCCACCACCAACTCCCCCGTTCCCAAACCTCTCCCCCACCCCCCGTGCTCTCAGCCCAGTGGCGGCGAACGTGGAGAGACGTTGGTGAAGGCGAGCTCGTTTGAGGCTGGGATGCTCGTCCCTTCACACCCCAACATATCCGACCCACACTTGCACTCTTCCAACCCCCCTCCCCCCTCACTTCGCCCTCCTGCCTTCAGCCCTGTAGCGGCAGATGTGGAAACGCTGGTGAAGGCGGGCAAGCGGCTGAAGAAGAACAACGTGGCGCTGCACGTGGTGAGCTCGTTTTGAGCCCCAGATTAACGCCCCTTCACTCCCAACGCACCCCACTCCTGCTCTGCTCTCTTCCACCCACCCTGTGATCTCAGCCCAGTAGCGGCAGGGGCGTGGAGACATTAGTGAAGGCAGGAAAGAGGCTGAAGAGGAACAACGCCGCACTGGACGTGGCGAGCTCCACTCCAGTCATACATTCTCACCCCTCCACCCCCCCACGCACCCCACTCTCTCGCTCTTCTATCCCCAGCCCCGTGGCGGCAGATGTGGAGACTCTAGTGAAGGCGGGCAAGCGGCTGAAGAAGAACAACGCGGCGCTGCAGGTGGTGTGCTCCACTCGAGTTCTGCATTTTCAACCCTCCACCCTCCACTGCACCGCCCTCTTGCTCTCTCCCACCCCCAGCCCTGTAGCGGCAGATGTGGAAACATTGGTGAAGGCGGGCAAGCGGCTGAAGAAGAACAACGTGGCGCTGCACGTGGTGTGCTCCACTCGAGTTCTGCATTTTCAACCCTCCACCCTCCACTGCACCGCCCTCTTGCTCTCTCCCACCCCCAGCCCTGTAGCGGCAGATGTGGAAACATTGGTGAAGGCGGGGAAGCGGCTGAAGAAGAACAACGTGGCGCTGGACGTGGTGAGCTTTGGGTGGGACGGCGAGGACGAGGAGAAGCAGGCCAAGCTGGAGGCGCTGCTGGGCGCCGTCAACAGCAACGACAACTCGCACCTCCTGCACGTGCCGCCCGGCCCCGCTGTGCTCTCTGACGTGCTCATCAGGTGGGTCGCCATGCCTTAGGTTGGTGGCCATGCCTTAGGTTGGTCGCCATGCCTTAGGTTGGTCGCCATGCCTTAGGTTGGTCGCCATGCCTTAGGTTGGTCGCCATGCCTTAGGTTGGTCGCCATGCCTTAGGTTGGTCGCCATGCCTTAGGTTGGGTACAGAGCTATCGCTCGTCAGTGCCTGTCGTGTGACTCCCCACCCCACCTACCGGTAAACTACGTACTTTTTCACCACTTCTCCCTGTCCCCTTTCTTCTCCGCACCTCCCATTCACGCATCGCTCTCACACCTACCCATCACTCACACACGCACTCTCCCTTCCCCCCCACACAGCTCTCCGGTGTTCACAGGAGACGGGAAGGGCGGCAGCGGTTTCGCTGCAGCAGCGGCCGCCGGGGCAGCGGCAGCAGCAGCAGGGGGCGGGGGGCTGGGAGGCGACTTTGACTTTGGCGTTGACCCCAGCGTTGACCCTGAGCTCGCCCTGGCCCTGCGCGTGTCCATGGAGGAGGAGAGAGCCCGCCAGGAGGCCGCTGCTAGGAAGGCCGCCGCTGAGCAACAGGCTGCTTCTAGAACGCACTAAAATGTCTTTTCCCTCTTCTCCCCGCTTTCACACCTCCCTCGCTCCCCTCCCCTCGTGCAGTTCCCCTGTATTCACGGGAGACGGGGAAGGAGGTAGCGGATTCGCAGCGGCAGCGGCCGCAGGGGCAGCAGCGGCAGCTGCAGCAGGGGGCGGCGGGCTGGGTGGCGACTTTGACTTTGGCGTTGACCCCAGCGTTGACCCGGAGCTCGCCCTGGCCCTGCGCGTGTCCATGGAGGAGGAGAGAGCCCGCCAGGAGGCTGCTGCTAGGAAGGCTGCCGCTGAGCAGCAGGCTGCTGGGGGTGCTGGGGGTGAGGGAGGGAGTGGAGGGGAGGGTGGGTCGGGAGAGGGGGGGAAGGGGGATGTGGCGATGGGCGAGGGGGAGAAGAAGGCGGAGGAGGGGCGGGCCACTGCTGCTCCTGCTGCTGGTGATGTTGCGATGGTGAGTGCTGGCATGATGCAATGTGGGGTGGGACTTGGCAGCAAGTACTGATCTGCATTTGCTTATCTTTCTCTCCCCTGTTCATCTGCCCTGTTCCCCCAGTTTTTCTCCCTGTCCTCTCACACACCAGGACGACGAGACAGCGCTGCTGCAGCAGGCACTGGCCATGTCAATGGCAGCAGGGGCGGCAGGAGGGGCGGGAGGCGCTGGGATGCTGGAATGTGGGATGGGACTTGGTAGTCGTGGGGTGGGGTGGGACCTGGCAGCACCTACTCATTTCCCTCGATCGCATATCCTTCTCCCTGTCTCCTCACACACACCAGGACGACGAGACAGCGCTGCTGCAGCAAGCACTGGCCATGTCAATGGCAGCAGGGGCAGCAGGAGGGGCGGGAGATGCTGCCATGCTGGATGCTGCTGCTGGAGGGGAGGATGCTGAGCTGGCACTCGGTGAGTGACCCACTCTGTGTGCTCCTGGCGTCTCCGTGTTATGTGCGACAACTTTGGAGAGTTGGTCCAATATTGCCTTCACACAAGCATGTGTGCGCACGTGCGCACGGTTCTTGATGTGCCTCGAAATGGCCCTTTGAGCACCAGCTTTACCATTCCTGTGCACGTTTGGTCCGCCTCATATGCTCCTCTTCCATGCCCCATAATTTTCCTGTTTTCTTTGTGACATAGGCGAAAATCGCTACCATATTATTGACAACGCTACTTTACTCCCACCCTCTTGCCTCTCCTTTGCACCAGCCCTGCAGCTGTCGATGCAGGAGGCAGCAGAGGAAGGCAAGAAGGAGGCTGCAGCGACTTTTGAGTCGACTCAAAAGTTTACTCCCACCCCTGGCCCTCCTTACCACCAGCCCTGCAGCTGTCGATGCAGGAGGCAGCAGAGGAAGGCAAGAAGGAGGCTGCAGCGGCAGCAGCAGGGGTGGCAGGTGAAGCACCAGCAGCAGGAGCAGCAGCGGCAGCGCCTGGAGACGTGGACATGAGTCAAGTGTTGGGTGATGCTTCCTTTGTCAACTCCATTCTCTCCTCGGTATGCTGTCCGTGCTCCCTTCTTGAGTCGACTCATAAGTCGCCTGGAGATGTCAGTTGCTTTGATGCAGCCAACTGCTTGCGTCCTCCATGTCTATCTACGATCTTATAAACCTGACCTCGCCTTTGATTTGCCCTCACCCAATTGCTTGCATCGCCCCCATCTCACACCCAGGGCCCCTCATCCCTTTGCCTGTATGTACCCCCCATCCCTTGCTCTTTCACCTGCTGTACCCATGTGTCGTGTCCCTGCCACCCATGTACTACCACCCCATGTGCCAAACCATGTACCACCCCATGTGCCAAACCATGTACCACCCCATGTGCCAAACCATGTACCACCCCATGTGCCAAACCATGTACCACCCCATGTGCCAAACCATGTACCACCCCATGTGCCAAACCATGTACCACCCCATGTGCCAAACCATGTACCAACCTATGTGCCCCCCCATGCAGCTGCCAGGGGTGGATCCCAATGACCCCTCTGTGCGGGACGTGCTCGCCTCTCTCGCCCCCTCCCAGCCCCCCAAGGTCTGCTCGCTTTGCCCTTTGCCCTTGCCCTTTGCCCTTGCCCTTTGCCCTTGCCCTTTGCCCTTGCCCTTTGCCCTTGCCCTTTGCCCTTGCCCTTTGCCGTTGCCCTTTGCCGTTGCCCTTTGCCCTTTGCCCTTGCCCTTTGCCCTTGCCCTTTGCCGTTGCCCTTTGCCCTTGCCCTTTGCCCTTTGCCCTTGCCCTTTGCCCTTGCCCTTTGCCCTTTGCCCTTGCCCTTTGCCCTTTGCCCTTGCCCTTTGCCCTTTGCCCTTGCCCTTTGCCCTTTGCCCTTCGCCCTTTGCTCTTCACCCTGCACCGCTCCCACCCACCGCACTGCTCAGCAGTTGCGTGCATTTTGTACTGATTCTGCCCTGTGCACCTTCTGGTGACTGGTACCCTGCTCTCGTGCTACAGGATTCGGAAGAGAAGCCTAAGGAAGACAAGTGAAGAGAAAGCTTGGTGTAGATGCCTGACAGTAGTGTAGGTGATGTGATGTGCCTTGAGTTTCCTGGCATGCCTCACTAGAGGACTTCTCAAACCACAACCACCAGGTATAAAACAGTCATACTATCTCAACCTGTGGTGTGGTGTGGTATTGATGTGCCATAACTCTAGCCATGCTATCTCCATGCTGAAGAAGCTACCTACCTGTTCACCACATACACACACTCTCTGGAACAGTACCGGGGTCCAGTACGGGTACGTGGGTTTGCGCAGCAGCCTGGTTTGCACTGAAACTGAACACACAAGGCGAGAACCGTCCCAAATTCCAGGGACAACTTACACCTAAGCAGCAACACTCGTGTGCACATCTCATCGCAAAAACATACGAAGTACCAGCAAGTGTAACAACCGCACATGGGCAGCAGAGCATAGTGTAATGGTCTTCAGGCACCATACTGAAGCAGTGTCAAAACAAATCTGAGCAGCCTCGATACTGGTTGAGAGCCGCCTTGAACAGTCTTGCCTCATGAAGGTTCCATGTGAGGGGGAATCAGCAGCGGTGCAGGGGGGCAGGGTAGATATCCAGGTACTGGTACCGCCCTGGCTGCTCCGGGTTCCAGTCAGGAGGCGTGGCTGTTGCATCATCTTCCTCTGCCGCATCTGCCTCGGTTTCTGGATCCAACAAGTCTGGCAGCATTTGCGGCTGCATGGAGTGCACTATCTCGCCCGCCTCCTGTGGGTGTGGGATTGCACAGGGGCAACGGGAGGCAGATGTGAAGGCAATGGAGACATGCGCTGAACAGGTGCACAGGCAGAACCAAGTCTCTGGCAGCATATGCGGCTGCATGGAGTGCACTGCAATATCTCCCCCGCCTCCTGCCAGTGTGGGTTGCATGGGGACAGTGGAGAGAGGGGGGATGTGAAGCCGATGGAAACATGCACTTGAAGGAGGATACCGGCCGTGGCAGTACCCTGGGGCTGCTGGACATACTGCTGGACATACTGCTGGACATACTGCTGGCCCTGCCAGCCAGATTGGCTCTGCTTGTACCACTTTGAGGAGAATTCAACAGAGTAGCACGAACCAGCAGAGGGTACTTACGAGGCCGGAGATGCGGAAGTGCTCCACGAGGTGGTCCGTCATTCTATCCAGAATGGCCCTGCCAGCCAGATTGGCTCTGCTTGTACCACTTTTGAGGAGAATTCAACAGAGTAGCACGAACCAGCAGAGGGTACTTACGAGGCCAGAGATCCGGAAGTGCTCCACGAGGTGGTCCGTGATTCTATCCAGAATGGCCCTGTTGCGCCTCAATGCATCCATTGCCATGCGCTCCGTTTGCTCTATGTTCTGGTGGATGGAGGGATGGCATGATGGCATGATGGACGCACACAGAGATGATGGGCGGATGCGGGAGGATGCGGCAAGGAAAGATGAAGGAGATGAGTGGGGGAAGAGTAGATGAACAGGTGACGAGGAGAAGCGGATAGGAGGATAACAGCAGAGAAGTAGGAGTAGAAGAGCAGGAGAGCAGGAGCAGGAGAGCAGGTAAGGAGAAGAACAGGAGAGGAGAGGAAGAGAGGAGGAGAGGAGGAGGGGAGGAGAGGAGAATGCAGCATATGACTTGGATTGAACCAGAGCAAGCGTTGAAGAGATCAACAGATTCAAAACGGCCCTGATAGTTTTGAAATAGAGTGCGACAACTCACCCATGTGACTTCCCGTGTGAAGATCTCAGACATTTCCACTGACATGGATGCCACCTGCATGCCCGGCCGCGACCACTGGCGAAGGGATGGCAGGGTAGGGCGGAGCAGGGCAGGGCAGGTACGGCAAAGGCAGATTAGGGATGGGCAAGAGTACATTTGACTAGAGGGGCATGGTGATGGCACAAGGTCCAAGGAGTGCTATGCTATGCCATGCATCAGATTGGATACCGTTATAAACTCTATCAGCAAACCATACAGACCAAACGTACAGAGGAGGGGATGAGCTCGACTTCATCGGGAAAACCTGGCGGCTCCATGATGGGGTGCATGGTGATGGGCATGAGCCCAAACCATATGGAGGATGGAATAAGGTACGAGCTACCCCAAAACCCTGAACCCTGTCCGACCCTGAACCAGAGGTTGAGCCCTGAACCCCCTGAATCCCTAAGCCCTGAACGTACAGAGGAGGGGACGAGCTCGACTTCATCGGGAAAACCTGGCGGCTCCATGATGGGGTGCATTGTGATGGGCATCAGCCCAAACCCTGAACCTTGACCTAAGCCCTGAATGATCGGAGGAAGGGATGAGCTATGAGCTACGCTAACCCCAGACCCAAACGTACAGAGGAGGGGATGAGCTCGACTTCATCGGGAAAGCCTGGCGGCTCCATGATGGGGTGCATGGTGATGGGCATCAGCCCAAACCCTGAACCTTGACCCAAGCCCTGAATGATCGGAGGAAGGGATGAGCTATGAGCTACGCAAACCCCAGACCCAAACGTACAGAGGAGGGGATGAGCTCGACTTCATCGGGAAAGCCTGGCGGCTCCATGATGGGGTGCATCGTGATGGGCATCAGCCCAAACCGCGGAGGTACCTTAAGAACCCGAACCCTAAACCATATTCCAAGCCCTGACCCAGAGGCTAAACCCTAAACCATATTCCAAGCCCTGACCCAGAGGCTAAACCCGAAACCATATTCCAAGCCCTGACCCAGAGGCTAAACCGTAAACCATATTCCAAGCCCTGACCCAGAGGCTAAACCCTGACCCAGAGGCTAAACCCTGACCCAGAGGCTAAGCCCTGAACCCCTGCCTAAGCCCGGCACGTACGGAGGAGGGGATGAGTTCGACTTCATCTGGGAAGCCTGGCGGTTCCATGATGGGGTGCATCGTGATGGGCAGCAAACCGAACCGCGGGTTCGCATGGCTGCTAGCTATCTCCCGTGCGATCTGGTGGGGTGCACATGGGGTGCACGTGGGGTGCAGGTGGGGGTGCAGGTGGTGTGCACATGGGGTGCATGTGGGGTGCAGGTGGGGGTGCAGGTGGTGTGCACATGGGGTGCACGTGGGGTGCACGTGGCGTGCACGTGGGGGTGCACGTGGGGTGCACGTGGGGGTGCACGTGGCGTGCACGTGGGGTGCACGTGGCGTGCACGTGGGGGTGCACGTGGCGTGCACGTGGGGGTGCACGTGGGGTGCACGAGGGGTGCACGTGGGGTGCACGTGGGGTGCACGTGGGGGTGCACGTGGGGTGCATGGAGGGGAAAAGAGAGGATAAGAAGGGGGCCTCGTGCTGTGGAGGGGTTGGACAGGAGGAAGGATCAAAACACAAACATCATACTCTTACTCAAGTTGCGTTTCTCACTCGAAACAACATATTTCGCCTGTGAGAGCCTTATGAGATCGTCCTGGCCGTTGTCATGTCAGTCACGTGGTGGACGTCTCAAAACTCACTCAAATCATTTGTGTGTGCGTGTGTGTGTGTGTGTGTGTGTGTGTTTTTTTTTTTTTTTTTTCTCTCCCTTTGGAGCAGCGCGTCTCACCTGCGACAGCTTCATGAGGTCGTCCTGGCCGTTGTCCGTGACATGGTCGTCGCCAAACACGAGGCGCTCGGCACACATGCCGCCGTGCGCCACCACCATCTGCATGTGCAGGTACCCCACACTCGTGCTGCCCTTGAGTAGCATCTCCTGCCGCGGGTAGAACACTGACAGTGCCCGCTCCTGGGGTTGACAAAGGGGAGGTGTGCGGGAGAGGAGAGGAGAAGCAGGCGAGTGGGGTTGGAGAAAGGATGAGTGAGCAGTTTGGGGGAGAAGCAGGCCGTGTGAAGCAGAACGGAGGTTGGCTTTTTTAGAATCGCACATGTCCACCTGAAATACCACCAGCACACCTGTAGCTCTACCTCACCGCCTGGCGACTACCTGACCGCTTGGCAACCCAACTGACTGCCCAGGTAACCCACCTGGCCGCCTGGTAACCCACCTGGCCGCCTGGTAACCCACCTGGCCGCCTGGTAACCCACCTGGCCGCCTGGTAACCCACCTGGCCGCCTGGTAACCCACCTGGCCGCCTGGTAACCCACCTGGCCGCCTGGTAACCCACCTGGCCGCCTGATAACCCACCTGGCCGCCTGATAACCCACCTGGCCGCCTGATAACCCACCTGGCCGCCTGATAACCCACCTGGCCGCCTGATAACCCACCTGGCCGCCTGATAACCCACCTGGCCGCCGGGGAGGATGTGGGTGAAGGCGTGCCAGTCGAAGGCGGGGAAGAGGTGTGCGAGCACCACGTGCCCCGCCTCGTGCACTGCCAGCACCCTCCTCACCTCCGCTGGGACCTGCAGGGCAGAGCAGGCAAGTGCAGGGAGACAGGTGGGCAATGCAATGTTGGGACATTTGAGTCCGACTCAGAAGGCGGGGAAGAGGTGCGAGAGCAGCACGTGGCCCGCCTCGTGCACTGCCAGCACCCTCCTCACCTCCGCTGGGACCTGCAGGGCAGAGCAGGCAAGTGCAGGGAGACAGGTGGGCAATGCAATGTTGGGACATTTGAGTCCGACTCAGAAGGCGGGGAAGAGGTGTGAGAGCAGCACGTGCCCCGCCTCGTGCACTGCCAGCCAGCACCCGCCTCAACTCTGCTGGGACCTGCTGGGACCCCGCCTCGTGTACTGGCATGGGCATGCATGATGCATGGTGGGGTGTTTGTCTGAATGGATGGCACCATGCATCATGGTGTGGGATTGGCTGGATGGAATGTATGTGCGTGGCATACACATACTAACAGTTGCAGATACACACACTCACTGACTCACTCCTCACACACCCACACAAGCACACACGCCACACGTGCCATCCACAGGGCACACACCCTCCTTGGAAAACAACCGTTGCTGTTCATCATCAGTCATGGAGATCCCGAGGCTCTCAGACAGCTGCTTGTCCAGCGCTGCCACACACATTCTCACATGCAACACACAACACAATCCCACACAACACAATCACACACAACACACTCACACACAACAAAAACCACACCCTTGCACTCACCTTGGCAAACAATCTCTGCTGCTCATCGTCAGTCATGGAGATCCCGAGGCTCTCGAAGAGCTGCTTGTCCAGCGCTGCCACGACGTCACCCTGCTCGATCACTGTGTGCCCGCGCCTCACCGCCATGATGCCCGCCTCGTTCACCAGATTGCGGATATCGGCGCCTGAGAAACCAATCGTGCGGAAGGCAACCTGAAAACACGGGTGGGGGAGAGGGGGGTGGGGAAATGGTAAGGGTTGTGTTGTGGTTTGGGTCAATCTGGCACATCGAGCTGTACGACATGATGCCCGCCTCGTTCAACAGATTGCAGATGTCCGCTCCGGAGAAGCCTGTTGTTCGAAAGGCAACCTGGTGGTAGGGGTTTCGAGAGGGGTGGGTTGTGGTTTGGGCCAACTTAACACAAACCGCACTGCCATGACCCCCGCCCCGTTCACCAATTTGCGACATCCCTGCTCCTAAGTACCCTTTTGTGCGGAAGGCAACCTGGGAGAAGGAGTGTGAGGAGAGAGGGAGGGGGTTGGGGAGAGCGGTGAGTTGTGGTGTGGTGTGGTGTGGGACGACCTGGCAGACACCGAGGCAAGCCAAGCCGAATTTTTGAGACGTCTCAAACATACCCTTTTTACAAGGGGGTTGGGGAGAGCGGTGAGTTGTTGTGTGGTGTGGTGTGGTGTGGGTCAACCTGGCAGACACCGAGGCAAGTCAAGCCGAATTGCACTGCACCCAGAAGCACAGAGCACAGATCGCACACACCTTGGAGAAGTCCACAGAAGGATCAAGCAATCGGTTGCGGGAGTGAACGCCAAAGATGGCGATGCGCTGCTCCTCGCTGGGCAGCCCCACGTGGATCTCACGGTCGATGCGCCCCGCCTTGGTCAGCCCCTCGTCCAACTCGTCCGGGCGGTTGGTGGCCGCTATCAGAATCACCGACTGTCGAAGAGAAAAGCGGTCCACGTCTGTGTGCTCCTCCCTGGTGGGGTGAGGGGGAGGGGGTGGGATGGATGGGATGGTTGCGCCTTGGTCAGCCCCTCGTCCAGCTCGTCCGGCTGGTTGGTGGCAGCGATCAGGATCACCAATTGCCGCAGCGAGAAGCGGTCCACATCCGTGTGCTCCTCCCTGATGGGTGGGGGTGGGGGTATGGATGGGTGCTGTGATTTGAATGTTGGAATTTTCTTGACCACTTTGGAAGTTGGCCTGGCGACTTTTGAGTCGACTGAAAAACCTCACAAGACCCGCTTGCTTGCAATCCCTCACTCCCTAACATGCTAGCCTCATTCACTCAATGTCCCCCACTCGCATTCACTCAAGGCCCGGCTCGGCCAGAAACTCCTCATACACACCCTCAGCCATGGAAAAAAGGCGAGCAGCAGTGTTGAAGGAACTTGTAGCAGAAGAAAGAGCAGCTAGTCTCCCCCGTCCCCCGGCACTCACTCGCCGTCCAGCTCGGCCACGAACTCCCCATACACACCCTCAGCCATGTACACTAGGCGAACAGCAGTCTGGTGGAAACTGTTAGCGAAAGCAAAGCACAGTCAGTCTCACCCCCTCCCCTCTCCCCCCCTTTCAGAACTCACTCGCCGTCCAGCTCGGCCAGAAACGCCTCATACACCTTCCGCCATGGAAACTAGCTGATCAGCAGTCTAGGAGAAAGAATGGGCACTCACTCGCCGTCCAGCTCGGCCAGAAACTCCTCGTACACGTCGCGCCTCTCGGGGTCCTTGAGCACGCTCTTGCCCGCCAGGGCGTCGATCTCGTCCACAAACAGGAATGCCGGCGCCTGGCAAGATGCACGAAGAGGAAGAGGGGGGTGGCAAAGGAGGGGGGCATGGGATGAGTTGTGCATGCGTGCTGTGGGGTCCTCTCGGGGTCCTTGAGCACGCTCTTTCCCGCCAGGGCGTCGATCTCGTCCACAAACAGGAATGCCGGCGCCTGGTTGAGATGCCGTGGGAGGGGAAGACGGAGACATAGGAGGGGGACATGGAATGAAGGCAAGCATGGGTGGTGGTGTGGTACGACCCACATCGACGCCTCTTAAGGGGACTTGAACACGTTATCCACACCACACCACACCACACTCTCTACCCTCACATTGCTCCATTTCCACCTCCTTTCCATCCCCCTCTCCACTCACATTGGCGCGTGCAGTGAAGAAGATGTTGAACACCTTATCCAGCCCACTCTCCGATGTGGAATCCACAAACCCCGCCCCTTACACTCACATTGCTCCCTTTCCACTTCCCCCACCCTCCCCTCCCCTCACTCACATTGGCGCGCGCAGTGAAGAAGATGTTGAACACCTTATCCAGCCCACTCTCCGATGTGGAATCCACAAACTCCGCCCCCGACGTGAACACAAACGGCAGCCCACACTCGCGCGCAATGGACCGCGCCAGCAGCGTCTTGCCCGTGCCCGGTGGGCCGCTGATCAAGATGCCCTGAGAGGGAGGCGGAGGGGGGTTTGGTGGGGAGGGAGGGGGGAGAAAAGGATAGGGTTTTGAAGCGCATTGGACCGCGCCAGCAGCGTCTTGCCCGTGCCGGGTGGGCCGCTGATCAAGATGCCCTGAGGGGATTGGGGGGAATGGGGCAGGGTGCATTTAGTACAAGTGGTTGGTTTGGTGGGGAAGTGTGTGGGGGAGCCGTGGACATTTCAGTCCAAGCTCAGCGGCTTGCCTGTGCCAGGTGGCCTGCTGAAGAGGATGCTGCCCTAAGGGAAGGCAGGCGGGGTGGGGTGGGGAGGAGAGGGGGCTTGCCTTGGATGCGCATACCGAGTTGGAAGGTTGGGGTGTTGAGAAGGATGTGTGCTTGAGAAGGGTTAGGGTGTCCTTATTGTGACGCTCACCCTAGGGAGAGGAGAGTCACTCTGGGGAGCACAGCATGTCATTCCTTGCTCCCGTACCATTCATATTCCCAGTTGCCATCTGCCATGCTCCTCCATGGCCTATACACCCCTCACTGCCCCCGACACAATTGAGACGTCTCAAAAGCTCCTCCATGGCCTATACACCCCTCACTGCCCCCGACACAATTGAGACGTCTCAAAAGCTCCTCCATGGCCTATACACCCCTCACTGCCCCCGACACAATTGAGACGTCTCAAAAGCTCCTCCATGGCCTATACACCCCTCACTGCCCCCGACACAATTGAGACGTCTCAAAAGCTCCTCCATGGCCTATACACCCCTCACTGCCCCCGACACAAGGGAAGGAACTCACTCTGGGAAGCTTGATGCCCTGCGAGTGGAAGGCCATGGGGTCGCGCATGTACGCCATGACCTCCTCCAGCACCTCCCAGATGTCATCCGCCATCACCACATCGTCGTATGCACTGCGCTGCCCCTCCCTGTGCACGTCCTCGGGCTGGGGAAGAGGGGGAAGGGAAGGAGGGGAGGGAAAGGGAGGGGGGAGCGTGGGGAAAGGAGAATGGTGATCTGGGAAGAGCGTGGCGAAAGGAGAAGGGAGAAAGGGAAGAGGGTGCTTTGGAATGCATATGTCATCCGCCATCACCACATCGTCGTACGCGCTGCGCTGCCCCTCCCTGTGCACGTCCTCGGGCTGAGGAAGGGTGGGAAGGGAGGGAAGTGGAGGGACGGAGGGAAAACGGGAAATATGAGGACAAGGAGGAGCAGAAGGTTTGAGGCAGTGATGAGGCAGTGATGAGCGGAAATAGGCCTTTCTAGTGAAAAACCTGCTAGATTGCTGCAAGCTCAGTAATGACTATCTTAATCGGTGGGCTAAGCACTAGGCCAGATAGCACCCACCAGCAGCAGCTGCGACCTGTCCAGATAGCACCCACCAGCAGCAGCTGCGACCTGTCCAGATAGCACCTACCAGCAGCAGCTGCGACCTGTCCAGATAGCACCCACCAGCAGCAGCTGCGACCTGTCCAGATAGCACCTACCAGCAGCAGCTGCGACCTGTCCAGATAGCACCTACCAGCAGCAGCTGCGACCTGTCCAGATAGCACCTACCAGCAGCAGCTGCGACCTGTCCAGATAGCACCCACCAGCAGCAGCTGCGACCTGTCCAGATAGCACCTACCAGCAGCAGCTGCGACCTGTCCAGATAGCACCTACCAGCAGCAGCTGCGAGCGGTCCATGTAGATGTAATCATGGATCTTCTCGTCCACTCGCCGCTTGAAGACGGTCTGCGCCGCCCCGATGCCGCCCAGCAGCATCAGCGAGGGCAGCAGGGCGGCCACCCCGCGCAGGAAGAAGAGGCGCGAGCGCGGCAGCATGTCCACGTTGACCCCCTTGAGCAACAGCGAGGGGTAGAGGAAGGGGTCTATTGGGATGTCCACCTGGTGGGGTGCAGGGAGAGAGAGCGCATGGATGAGGGTTCAGTAACTAGTGGATGAGGGATTGGACATGCGGACACAAGTGGGCAGCATGTCGACGTTGACGCCCTTGAGCAGCAGCGAGGGGTAGAGGAAGGGGTCGATTGGGATGTCCACCTGGTGGGGTGCGGGTGCGGGTGCGGGTGCGGGTGCGGGTGCGGGTGCGGGTGCGGGTGCGGGTGCGGGTGCGGGCGCACGGATTAGGGTTCAGGTTCACGCGTGAGGGGTGGGGGGGGGTATGGGTGGAGGGGCAGGGGATTAAACTATGCCTAGAGAGACACTGACGTCCACGTGGCAGGGTGAGGGTGCACGAATGAGTTTTGAGACGTCTCAAAACTCTTCTTTTTTCACAGGGTGAGGGTGCATGGATGAGCAGTTAGCGTGGCGGCTGAAGCCCATCACATTGCGTTCAGCCCATTCCCGCGGCCCATGCATTGAACCCCTCACCTTGAACTCAGCAGGAAACCCTTCCTTCATGGTGACATAGAGCCGGCGCATGTCAGCCGTGAAAACCGCTGCATCCACCTCGTTGGTCTGTATCTTGTGCAGCAGCCACACGTACGGCATGCCTGGTCGGTACTTCCACCACCGCCGCTGCAGCCACACGGCGGGGCTGTCCGCCTCGCCCTCCCCCCGCGCCCGCCTCGCCATCTCCTCCTCCTGCTGCGCCTGAATCAGATCCCAATCGTACACGTACTCGTACCTGGAAAGCAGGAGGGAGGGGAGGGAATAGGGGTGGCAACGTAGGAAAGGGAAGGGCAGAGAGAGAGAAGGGGCTATCTCAGGCTGGTCAACACCTCTCCTCCTGCTGCTGCGCCTGAATCAGAACCCAGTCTTACACGTACTCGTAGCTGGGGTAGAGAGGGGGGATGGGGGCAGGTGGGGAAGAACGGGTGGGCAGGGAGAGAAAGAGGCCCATCTCCTCCTCCTACTGGGTCCAGATGAGCTCTCTTGACGGAGCATGCTCCCCTTTGCGCTCCACCACGCCTCTATCCAAGCCTCTATCATATACTCAAATGGGTTCAAATGGGTTCAATGAATCAGGCAGCCCTTCCCCACAGGGGATCTCACCGACTGGTGGGTTGTTCAAACAGGTCCTTCATGCTGTGTCAGCCCCCACCCACCACGGCTTGCCGGCCCACAAGCTCCCAGTCATGATGAGTCCCCAGATCCGACCAAACAGGTCCGATATATCATGCAGTTCTCTCCCGCAGGGACTCTCACCGGTCGCTTATCACACGAGGGCCTGTTCGAACAGGACCCTGTAGAACGAACCAGTGCGCTCACCGGCTGGACGGCTCTTCAAACAGGTCCTTGATATCGCCCTCCGTCACTGCTTCCTCCCACCGCTGCAACCGCTCCCTCCACCCGCCCTTGCTGCTACTGCTGCTGGTGATGGTGGTGGTGGAAGCAGCAGCCGTGACACTGCCGCTCGTAGCACTAGCATTGTCACTGCCACGTGTCAGCAGCCCAGTGGATGTGGAACGGTCCAGGTCTCCCTCATGCTGCCACGCGGTCTCGCCCACAAAGGAAGGGTCCTTCTCCCACCGCCCGTCTCGGTCCATCCTCCACTTCACCACTGATAGCCCTGGCGGCGCCTGCGCCCTCCACCGCTGCTCCCGCACGCTGAGAATCACAACAGCATGAGAGGGAAGGAAGAGGGGAGGAGAGTGGGATGGAGTGGGGACAAAAGGAAGGGTCCTTCTCCCACCGCCCGTCGCGGTCCATCCTCCACTTCACCACTGACAGCCCTGGCGGCGCCTGCGCCCTCCACCGCTGCTCCCGCACGCTGAGAGACAGGGGGTTGAAGAGGGCGAGGGGAGAGTAAGTGGATTGGCTGGGGAAGAGAGGGTCCTTCTCCCACCGCCCGTCTCGGTCCATCCTCCACTTCACCACTGATAGCCCTGGTGGTGCCTGTGCACGCCACCGCTGCTCACGCACGCTGAGAATCACAACAGCATGAGAGGGAAGGAAGAGGTGAGGAGAGATGGATGGAGTGGGGGCAAAAGAAGGGTCCTTCTCCCACCGCCCGTCGCAATCCATCCTCCACTTCACCACTGATAGCCCCGGTGGTGGCGCCTGCGCCCTCCACCGCTGCTCACGCACCCTGAGAGGGAGGGGGGGAGATGGAGCGAGAGAGAAGAAGATGTGGAGGGAAGGGAAGGAAAGAAGGGAGGGGAAACATGAGGGGAGAGCAGGCGGGGTGGTTGAAGAGAGAAGATGCACCCTTCCGCTGCCCGTCGCGGTCCATCCTCCATTTCACCACCAATAATCCTGGCGGGGCCTGCACCGCTGCTCGCGCACGCTTCATGTATCCGATTCTCCCTACCGCCCTTCACCCCCTCCCCACCTCTCTCCCTTGTTGTGCCCCGTGTTCCCTTCACCCTCCCTCCCCAACCGCCGTGTGACTCACGTGCAGTGAGGTGTATTTTGAGGCGCCTCAAAATACTCTTCACCCCCTCGCCCACCTCTCTCTCCTCGCCCACCTCTCTCCCTTGTTGTGCCCCGTGTTCCCTTCACCCTCCCTCCCCAACCGCCGTGTGACTCACAGGCGGACGTTTTCAGGGGTAGGTTCTGGGATGGCAAACTCCAAAAACCGCTCCACCGAGGCAGGCCGGCTCGCCAGCCTGGCAGCTACAGTGCGGCCCGCCGCCCGGCAGAAGACGACTGTAGCAGCGAGGTAGAGTGCCGCTACAGCCCACCGCAGTACCGTCCACGACTGGGGGTTCTGTAGCATGACCAGGGGGGGTGAAGGAAGTAGTGGGAAGGGGGGAATCATGAGTCAATTTGGGTGTAGCGGCGAGGTAGAGCGCCGCTACAACCCACCGCAGCGCCGTCCAAGACTGGGGGTTCTGTAGCATGACATGACCCCATGAATGCCCAGGCAGAGGAGGGAAGGGGGAAGACAGGGAGAGTGAGTGAGAGTGGGGGGTCAGGGGGGATTAGAAGGAAGGGGGAAGGAGGATGGAAAGGGGTGGGGAAAAGGGGGGAGGCAACGGAGGATGGGAGGAATTTGACAGGCCTAAACGTTTGCAAATTGACTGCTCACGGTAATGGTCTGGAGGGGAGGGGGAAGGGAGGTGGATTCGAGGTGGTGGGGGGAGGGGAATGGAGACACGGGCTGCACAGGAATCGCTGTAAAGCAATGTGGAGCGAGAAAACCCTGAACCCTGATTCCCCAGTAGCAACATTGCTGTTCCCTTGAGCCTTCCGCCTTCCGCGGTTTTATGTTGCTTCCCCAGAGCTTTCCTTGCCACGTCACTCACCTTCCATTGGTCCACTTGGTGCCACCGCTTCGCAGCCAGCAGCTTTGGCAGGCCGCGCCGCTTCACTGCTGCTGCTTGCTCGCGGGCAGACCCGAAAATATTTTCTACTGCCCCGATCACGGCTGCTCGGATCGCTGCAAGCAGAATCTGCGCGTCGCGGACGTCCGTCCTAAACTCCTCCGTAATCTCCTCCACTACCCCATCCAGCCGGAGGGAGCTCCCTCCGGCTCCTGAATCGGCATTACTATTGGCGTCACTCGGTGCATCTCCGCGATCCTCGCCGCTTCTGTCGCCGGAACTTGCGACGCGGCACGGGGATCCTAACGGCCGGGAAGCCCGCAGAAGGCGAGGTGAGCTGGTGAAACCAGGGGAGAGGCGAGGAACGAAGGAGGAGGTCAAAGGAACACGGGGACCCGATCGTCGCTGACACGTGATTGCACGGCCACGTGGCGCGCGGAGAAGCGAACTTGCTGCTGGTGCGCTGTTACCTATTGTGGACATTGTCGTTAATGGACGCTCTTGGCGGCGGGAAACGCGGGAATCAATGCAATCGGGACGAAGAAGGGTTATGGCGTGCCCTGTGGGTGAATCGAGCCGCAGCGACGTGGCCATAAGCTTCTCGACTATCGATTGAGTCACGCCGTCAAACCAGGCGCCGCGCTGACATTCGTGCAGCAGCTCGGCGCGCCCTAAACGTCCACTTATCAGGCAAACATCCAACCCACCACGAGTGTATGATGGAACTGGATTGCGCATGTAGCAAAGCCGCGCGATGCAACGAGCTTTCGCGAAAAACGTAAAAGGTGACCACAATTCGCCGTGGTGCAAGGTTACTGAAATAGCGCCGCTGCAAAAAATGTTATCACACCCATATCTCTAGGTACACCCATACACTGTTTTCACTTAGTTGTAGTATTGCAAGCAGGTACAGAACTAGGTTGCGTAGCTGTGTGGTTGTGTTTGTGCTGCAGCCTCCATGCATCGAGATACAGCTTCACGTGCAGTATCTGCACACAAAAACACAATAGCAGTGGATATATATTTTAAAAGAGCTCACGTGTACGTCCACATCTTAGGCTAACAAATGAGGGACAGTCAATTAGCATATATCAAGCTCCACAACCATTTCAATGCAAAATATAAGCCAGAACATTACCTGCATAAGTGTGTCAACGGCATCATCCCCCTCCATGCCCTCCAAATCCGCCACCCACTCCCCCACCTCCTTCCCCTGTGCCCTCTGCCGCCCCGCCTCCAACAGCACTGCCGACCGGTAGAACCACCGCATCCAGACAAGGCTCGCCGCCCGCTGCATTGCCCGCACTTGGTGGGATGAGATGGAGTTGAGAACGGTGACGAGGTTGGGAATGTCGGCTTCTGCAATTCGCACTGTGAAGGATGGGTAGTCCAGGAAATTCTCAAACGGCAGCTCTATGCCATCCTGCCATGCCATGCCATGCCATGCCATGCCATAGGGATGCCACACCCGTGCCATGCCATAGCAATGCCACACGCATGCCATGCGAGATCCCATACAGTGCAGTACCCCGTGGATCGCAGCATAAGGGAAACGAGATGGAAAAGACATGTTTCTTCAGCTAAACGGAGGTGGTGGGGCCAAGGAGAAGCAAAGGAGAGGCAAAGCACATTCGCACAACACCAGAAACCAAGGGGTTTTCAGTGGTTGGAGTTGAAGTGGGCAGGGCGAGGCGACTTTTGAGTCGACTCAGAAGCACTTTCGCACAACACCAGAAACCAAGGGGTTTTTAGTGGTTGGAGTTGGAGTGGGCGGGCGAGGCACCTGGATGATGCAGGGGATGCAGCCGTGCAGCAGGCTGTCCTCCATGCGCGCACTGAGTTTTGAGACGTCTCAAAACTAGATGCAGGTGGCAGGGCAGGGCGGGGCACCTGGATGATGCAGGGGATGCAGCCGTGCAGCAGGCTGTCCTCCATGCGCGCACTGAGTTTTGAGACGTCTCAAAACTAGATGCAGGTGGCAGGGCAGGGCGGGGCACCTGGATGATGCAGGGGATGCAGCCGTGCAGCAGACTGTCTTCCATGCGCGCACTGAAGCCATCTCCTGGGAACACCCCGCAGAAGCGCGCTGAGGCGAGCTGGGGAAGCACGCACAGTGGGGACGGGGAGTGAGGAGATTGGGCAAGAGGAGAGAAGGGGGAACTGTGTACTGTCCTCCATGCGCGCACAGAAGCCATCCCCTGGGAACACCCCGCAGAAGCCCGCCCGTGAAAGCCGCACGATGCGCGGGGGGGTGGGGGGGTTTGGGTTGCAAGGGGGAATGGAAGGAGCAGCTGAGAGCAACAACGTTATGGCGACGACAGAGGGAAGGCTGGGGGAAGGATGCTCTCAGTCTTCTTCTGCCCCCTCTACCCCATCCGCCCCCCACCTGCTGTGCATAGTCAGGGACAGGCCCAGGCAGTACGAGCAAGTCGGGGTGAGACGGATTCTTGACGCTTGGAAAAAAATATCGAGAACATATTTCCATGACTTCTACTCTGCCCCCGCTCCTCTCAGTCCCCCCACCTGCTGGGCATAGTCACGGACGGGCCCTGGCAGCACGAGGGCGTTAGTGTGGGACAGCAGCCCCACACGTCCCTCTGCTTTCCAGCCACTTCTCACAGTCAGGCACCACTCTCCCTCTGCCCCCTCTGCCCCCTATGCCCCTCTGCACCCTCTACGTGCTCTGCTCCCCACCTGCTGGGCATAGTCAGTGACGGGCCCTGGCAGCACAAGCACGTCGGGGTGGGATAGCAACCCCACGTGGCCATGCAGGTTGGGCTGCGATGCAAAGTAGAGCGCCACCCGCTGCCGGATGCCCATGCTGTAGCTGCAGTGCGTGTGGTGGGGACGGAGGAGGGGGTGTGGAAAAGGGAGGGGAAGAGAAAGGGAAAGTGGGAGGGAGTGGGTCATGAGAAGGCTGCGATGCAAAGTACAGAGCCGCTCGCTGCCGGATGCCCATGCTGTAGCTGCCATGCATGGGGGGCGGCTGGGTGGGAGGGGGAGGGGGGAGAGCGGACGGAGGAAAGGAGAAGGCGGGCAGGGAAAGGGGGAAGGCAGGCACAGGAAAGGGGAAGGGGTGGGTAATTGGACGTTTGTAAACCAAAGTAAAGCGCCACTCGCAGCCAGATGCCCATGCTGTACCTGAAGCGATTGTTAGGGCGGAGTGGGGGAGGCGGAGGGGAGGGGGAGGGGGAGGGGAAGAAGGTGGGTGATGAGAAGACTCTGATGCAAATTACAGCGCCACTTGCTGCCCCCTGGACGGGTCTCTTAGTCTGTCGTCAAGCAATCCGGGATGTAGCAACTTGGGCTCTGGCAAGTGCGGCCACTGCATGTGTCGTGCATGTGTGCATGTGTGCATGTGTCGTGCATGTGTGCATGTGTGCATGTGCGCACTTGGCCTGTGCATGTGTGCATGTGTGCATGTGTGAGTACTTGGCCTCGGGGCGGCCGTGGGAAAAGTTGAGCCCCAAGTTGCCGCCAAAGAAGAACAGCCGCTGCCGCTGCTCCACTGGACTGCCATGGAGCAGTGGGGGGATGGGGTAAGGAGGGTCATGGAAGCAGGGCAATGCATGGGGTAAGGGGGAGCATGGGGCAGCAACAAGGAAGTGATTGCTGCGCGGGCCAAAATGAGAGTGCTGAGTGCTGGGGAAGATTGGAATGTTGAAAGGTGCTCTCACATATGCCCCCCCGCTTCTGCTCATCTCTCTCTCCTCCCCTTTGCCTACTTGAGCCACAGCCGCCCCCTGAGGTGCTCCGCATTGGGCGGCTTGAAGGCCGGCATGACCACGTCCTTTAGCGGGTCGAAGCACGGGTGCCGCCCGCGCAGCGCTGGCGGGATGTCGCGCCAGCTGTCGAGGAGATAGGCGGTGGTGGAGTGGTTGTGGGCGGCCATGGTGTTGCCCCAGTGCGATAGCATGATGCCGTTAAACACGTCTTTAGGGGCGTTGCAGGCACCCTCGTCCCAGGGGAAGGTCTGCAGGTAAGACAGATAGAGGAAGGGAGATGGGAAGCAGCGGTTGTGGGCGGCCATGGTGTTGCCCCAGTGCGACAGCATGATGCCGTTAAAGACGTCCCTCGGGGCTCTGCAGGCCCCTTCATCCCAAGGGAAGGTCTGGGAGAGGTGACAGAGGAGGCACTAGAGAATGAGATAGGCGGTAATGGAGTGGTTGTGGGCGGCCATGGTGTTGCCCCAGTGCGACAGCATGATGCCGTTATACGAGGTGACTTTTGAGTCGACTCAAAAGTTGCCCCAGTGCGACAGCATGATGCGGTTATACACGTCTTCAGGGGCGCTGCAAGCCCCCTCGTCCCAGGGGCGCTGCAAGCCCCCTCGTCCCAGGGGAAGGTCTGCAGGCAGGACAGGGATGACAGATAGAGGCGAGAGAGGTGATACAGGGGGAAACAGTGAGCGAGGGAAGTGGGTGGTGGAGTGGTTGTGGGTGGCCATGGTGTTGGCCCAGAGCGATAGCATAATGCCCTTGAAGACGTCCCCCGGGGCGCTGCACGCTCCCTCGTCCCAGGGGAAGGTCTGCAGCAAGAGATGATAAAGGTGATGGAGGGAGTATGAGAGGTGGGGAATGGAGTGGTTGTGAGCGCTCATGGTGTTGCCCCAGTGCACAGAAAAACAGTTTCGACCTGGATCCAACAGGTAACTCGTCCTAATCTCCTCTAGGCTGAGCTTAGGCTAGTAGGGATTGAATAGGTAAGAAATTGTCATTCAAACCTGAGCGTACGCGCGTTTCGGCCGGTGGCCTTCATCAGCGCTCTAGGGGTGCTGCATGTCCCTTCAACACGTCTTTAGGGGCGCTGCATGCCCCTTCATCCTAGGGAAGGTCTGGCGGAGGTGACAGAGGCGAGAGAGGTGAGAGATGTGACAGACATGGAGGAGATGAGGGGCCAACGGAGAGTGAGGGAGATGAGGGGCCAACGGAGAGTGAGGGAGATGAGGATTGGATGAGTTGTGGGCTGCGAGGGACAGCGAAGAAGGGGCGGCGACGGGAAGGGAGAGCGTTGTGGGGGAGCATTCACGAGGCTGTGAGGCAGCACTTTGGGAGGGTGCATGTGAGGCAGCACTTTGGGAGGGTGCATGTGAGGCAGCACTTTGGGAGGGTGCATGTGGGGCAGCACTTTGGGAGGGTGCATGTGGGGCAGCACTTTGGGAGGGTGCATGTGGGGCAGCACTTTGGGAGGGTGCATGTGGGGCAGCACTTTGGGAGGGTGCATGTGGGGCAGCACTTTGGGAGGGTGCATGTGGGGCAGCACTTTGGGAGGGTGCATGTGGGGCAGCACTTTGGGAGGGTGCATGTGGGGCAGCACTTTGGGAGGGTGCATGTGGGTGAGTGAGACTGAACGGTGGGCAGAACGAGCTGTGAGTCACCAACAACAGCCCCCTCACGGGTCCAGATGTGAGTTGCAAAACCAGGTCAACTCATGCACTTGTGCGAGTCCCCTCATTGCTCACCCAGATGTGGTCACGGCCTTGTGTTCTGTTCCAGAAGGGGTAGGCGGATCGGATGTGCTCCAGGGCTCGCTGGTAGTGGTCTGCTGCAAAGTACGACCGCCGGTTCTTGAACTTGCCCTGCGATGGGGAGGGGTGGGGAATGGTGCGCGTAGGTTTGAAAGACCTCAAAGATAGGCTCGCTGGTAGTGGTCCGCTGCAAAGTATGCCCGACGGTTCGTGAACACGCCCTGTGGGAGTGGAGGGGGTTGGGGGAGGGGGGGGTTGGGGAGCGGTGCGTATGTTTGAGTTGAGGCGCCTCTACGATAGGCTCGCTGGTAGTGGTCCGCTGCAAAATACGACCGGCGGTTCGGTTCTTGGACTTGCCCTGTGGGAGAGGTGGGGTGAGGGTCATCAGTCCGGGCAGTGATGCACAGGCATCCCATGCAATTCCACGGCACCCCGCAGAGACCCACACATACACCACAACACAACACCAGTGTACATGCCACACTAGACCTCTCACAACAGTAGCACAACCACGCACCTGCATCAAAGTGGCAGGAGAGTCGTCAGCGCGTGCGGTGATGCACCCACCCATCACGGGCACAAAGAAATAGTCCGCTGCCGATGCATTGGTGGTGCGGTGGGTGCTGGCTAGCAGCGACTCTATGACTGCCACCTGACTGGTGGGAGGGGACGGGAGGGGAGGGGAGGAGAAGTGGTAAGGGAAGAGCGAGATGAGGAGGAGAGTATAGCTTCTCCACCCCTTGAAGAGCGCAAGGGAGAAAATAGTCTGCTGCTGATGCATTGGTGGTGCGGTGGGGGCGGGAAGGGAAACGGGGTGAGGAGGAGGAAAAGAGAAACCACCCATCACGAACACACAGAATGATGCATTGGTGGTAAGGTGGGGCTGGCTAGTGTGTGCTGCTCGGATCAAATGAATGTCCGCACGTGTGCTTACCTCCATGCCATAGAGCTGGAAGAAATTGTACAGCGTCTCATTCCTCATGCCATACAGCCGAGTGGTGCAGTATGCACGGATCTTCCTCGCCTCCATGTGGTGAAACGTGAACTCCCCCGGCAGGTCATAGACGTAGATCAGCGGCCGCTGCCACCGCACCCACCGCCTGCTGCTGCTGCTGCTGCCCGCCGCCTTGCTGCTGCTGCTGCTGCTGCTGCTGCTGCTGCCCGCCGCCTTGCCCCACCGGCGCAGCTCCCACTGCCGCCTCACGAATGGCTTCACCTGCTGCTGCGCTGCCAGGTTCTCCACCCTCCTCTGCCACCCTGGCACGGTGCCCTCAGCACCACCAGCACCACCAGCAGCAGCAGCACCAGCAGCACCAGCAGCAGCAGCAGCGGCAGCAGCAGAAGAACCCTCAGCAGCAGCAGCAGCAGCAAGTTGGGCCGGTAGTCTGTGGTGTGTCTCCTCCCCGCCTGCACCATGCAGCACACGGCGCTGCACATCACCAGGAGAGGTGCTGCCTGCAGCATCGCCAGGCATGGAAATGACACCATCTGGGTCTCCAGTGCTGCTTCCACTGCCTCTTCCCCCGTCTTTGCCAGCTAATGACGCGTCGGCAGCCGTCGATGCCACGTCAGCGTGCGGCGAATCCAGCTGGAGCGATTCAGATGGGTGCGTGAAGAGCGCAGGAGGAGTGAAAGCGGACGGCACGCTGCAGTCGATGCCAAAGAAACCGTCAGAACACTGGAGAGAGGAGTGGGGGGGAGTGGTGAGGAGTGGATGGGACGAGATGACATTTGAGGACTCAAAGGTCAAGCGGACGGCCCACTGCAGCAGATGAGAAGAAAGCATGTGAACACTGGAGTGGAGGAGTGGATGGGATGGGACAGAGGAGGAGGTGAATAAGTGAGTTGGGGCAGAGTGGGGGGGTCAGGAGAGAGGAGGAGCAATAACGCCGTCCTTACGATGCAATCACCCAACCCAACTGAAGCCCCTAGTATCACCACACCCTTTACCAGAGTCGCCCACGCACCCACCCACACACCCACCCACGCACCTCACAGTATCCTCTGTGGCACGACCCGTGCAGTGCAGAGAGCACTGGTTGACACAGTATGACTCAAATCGCACGTCACAGAAGGGCCCCAAGTACCCGTCCACATCGCACATGCCACACCCCATGAAAGCCCACCAAGGCTAACCCACTCACCTCACAGTATCCTCTGTGGCACGTGCCGTGCCGAGAGCACTGGTTGACACAGTATGACTCCACGCGCACGTCACAGAAGGGCCCCAAGTACCCGTCCACGTCGCACATGCCACACCCCGTGTAGTCGCGCTGAAAGCCCACTCGGGGATCCGCGTTGCAGTAGCCGGTGTGGGCGTGGAAGAGCAAGTCTGTGTCCACCTCGCTATAGACGAAGTCGTGGTTCCTGGGGGAAGGGGGCGGGGTGGTGGGTGAAAGGCACAGACAGTCACAGAGCTGGCGTTGCAGTAGCTGGTGTGAGCGTGAAAGAGCAGACCCGTGTCCACCTCGCTGTACACAAAGTCGTGGTTCCTGGGGGGATGGGGCGGGGTGGTGTGGTGGGTGAGAGGCACAGACAGTCACAGAGCTGCCGTTGCAGTAGCTGGTGTGAGCGTGAAAGAGAAGGTCCGTGTCCACCTCACTGTAGACAAATTCGTGGCTCCTGGGGAGATGGGGAGGGGAGAGGGGGAGGAGAGGAGGGTAACGCAGGTGCAGTGGTAGGCAGTAGCACGGACAGGCCAGAGCTGCCATTGCAATGACCAGTGTGGCAGTGAGCCGGGAAGATGCATGTTACCCAGGCAGCTACAGACTCATTGCCACGTATGCACTGCACCCATGCACCCGTGCACCCATGCAACCGTGCACCCATGCACCCATGCACCCACGCACCCATGCACCCGTGCACCCATGCACCCATGCACCCATGCACCCATGCACCCATGCACCCGTGCACCCATGCACCCATGCACCCATGCACCCATGCACCCATGCACCCATGCACCCATGCACCCATGCACCCATGCACCCATGCACCCATGCACCCGTGCACCCATGCACCCATGCACCCATGCACCCATGCACCCATGCACCCATGCACCCATGCACCCATGCACCCATGCACCCATGCACCCATGCACCCGTGCACCCATGCACCCATGCACCCGTGCACCCGTGCACCCGTGCACCCATGCACCCATGCACCCATGCACCCATGCACCCATGCACCCATGCACCCGTGCACCCATGCACCCATGCACCCGTGCACCCGTGCACCCGTGCACCCATGCACCCATGCACCCATGCACCCATGCACCCGTGCACCCGTGCACCCATGCACCCATGCACCCATGCACCCATGCACCCATGCACCCGTGCACCCGTGCACCCGTGCACCCATGCACCCATGCACCCATGCACCCATGCACCCGTGCACCCGTGCACCCGTGCACCCATGCACCCATGCACCCATGCACCCATGCACCCATGCACCCGTGCACCCGTGCACCCATGCACCCGTGCACCCATGCACCCGTGCACCCATGCACCCATGCACCCATGCACCCATGCACCCATGCACCCGTGCACCCATGCATCAATGACCCAGGCCCTACCTGTACACGAACCCACAGGGGTGGGTGATGGGGCGGTGGGGGAACCTAGTCCCATTCCCACAGAAGCAGAGGGCGGTGGTGGTGTCGCAGTGGGCCGGGCAGATGGACGCCACCCAGGTACCCATGGGCCACTCGGGTGATGCGGGCAGGTTGCACTGGAGCAGGTGCAACTGCGAGCAGTCAGGGCCTGCAGTGGATGCATTGGGAGAGGCAGAAGGGGGTGTGGCGTGGCGTGACAGGTAGGAGCAGGGGGACCAGTGGGACGCCACCCTATGAAGTGGGAGGGAGCCAGGCAGATGGACGCCACGCCACCCTATGAACTGGGAACAGTCGGGACTCTTTCACCCCGTGAACAGTTTCAACACGTAATAACCTCCTGAGTATCAGTGCATGCTATGCAATACACCTGAGGATTCACCTGAGAATCCGTGTCGGCATCTGCACTCCCCCAGCTCGTGGTTACACACGCCGTTGCCACTGCAGTTGCCGGGACACGCCCGCGAGAAGAGCACCTGGGGGACACAACCACGGCCCAACCCGACGGAGAGGGTGCGATCAGGAAAGGCCCTGATTGGGAGGGGTTAATTGAGGCTGGGAGAGGCTGGCAAGTGTTGGGAGGGCTGTTGGCAATCTCTCTTTGGGACAAGCCCCCTTTGGGCACAGAGAAAAGAGTCAACAAACTTGTTGGCTCTTTCCTCTCCCCTCAAGCCCCTTCCCCACCATCTTCCCCGCACTCTCTGCCCCTACATCCACCATCCTCCCCTCTAACCTCCACCCATCCTGCGCGTGCCAACTAGCTGCATACACGCACCTCGCCTACAGTCACAGGCGACAGCTGGTCGCCACACACCAGCAGCCACCGCCCCACGTCAGCCTTCCACGGCGCCCCTCTGTACTCCACTGCACCGCTGCTGCCCCAGTTATTATCACCATCGGTACTGCCACCGCTGGTAGTATCACGACCATTACTGCCGGTAATGCCTTCACCACCCCCCGAGTCGCTAGCACCACCATCTCCGCCGGTTTCTCCGCCCTCTCCCGCCCCTCTAGGCCTCCGCTGCGACTCCGCCTGCCCATCCCGACCCGCCTGTGCGACCTGTGCGACGTTCCTGTGCCACGGGTGCAGCCCCAACACGTCGCACGCGATGAGCGCAGCAGCGACGGCGACCAGCAGCGCGACTCGTGCCACGTGGGCAGCCCCCGGACCACGTGGCAGCGTACCGGCCGCGGGCGCTGGCGCTGCGGGAGCGCTGCCACGTCGGCTGAACGTGATTGGCTGGAAGACGCGAAAGGAGGTTCCCGGAGCAGCGATTGGTGCAGATGCGGCCGGCTGGAGTGCCGGCCGGCGGGAGAAGAGGGGCGGGAGGAAGGCCGGCATGGGTCCGCCACGTGGGGTCCTAGCGACGCGGCAAATGAGTGAAATCCGGTGGCGAGGAGAGGAGAGGAGGGGAGGAGAGAAGGACCTGGACGCGACTCAATGGTGGTCTCAACGCCAAAACGAATCCACGACTTCATATCCCACGGGTCGTAACGCCACCATCACCACGAGCAACCGCGTTAGCCCCGACCCACGCCATGGTTAATGCGAACAGAATTCACCGTGCCTCGTGCCTCGCTCACCACGAGGCCATGTCATTCATGTGCGAGGTGAGCAGGGCGAAAATGTCGAGGAACTCGGAAATCTTTGCCACAATCGAATTTGTGACATTGCCGACTACACTAATGCGGTGTACAGAAATTGTAAAATTTTCACAAACGAGGGTGTAATTGTAAGAGTTTGCACAAACGAGGACGACGGCAGGTAACTCAATCCCCTTCATCCGTCATTTCCCTTGCATTTTCTTCGGAGCTTCACTGCCTTTCACAACGCACTTGAGTGAATCGTCTCAAAAGTGGTGAGCCGCCATGTCGGCTGCAAGCGCGACGGCCGCATTCCCGTCGCTTGACGGCTCGCCGCAGCTGCGTCGAGCCCCGTTTCAGTCACTTTTGGTAAAATCTGGGTCAGGATCCCAACGGCAGTCCCACCTGATCCTGCGCCATTCCGTCCCATGCGGACGCATCACTCATCCCGATCGACCCAATGCACCCGTGCATTTAAACCCGCTGCCGCGTTTGGCGCTTTATTCCCGGCCGCGCCGGGCGGTACGCGCAGCAGCTGCACCTACCCCAGTTGTTTCCGCGACTGCGGCGGCTCCGCGGGGCGGCAGGGACGGCGAATACGACAGGACTGACCAGTGGGACGATACGCGCGCACGTCGTTCTGAGGATTACGAAGATGACTATAACGAGGATTTCTTTGCCAGCGACGTGGCGCTGCCGCCTGGCGCGCGGTTCGGGAAGAGAGACCAACCGGATGAGAGCTGGATAAACGACTCTGATTGGTCGAGGGGATCCGCGGGGCCGCGCAAAACGGGGCAGGGAGGGGAGGGGGAAGGCTCTCGCGGAAGGCGGCAGCAGGGGGACCGCGGGGGGTTGCAGGGGAGTCGGGGGGGAAGGAGCGGGAGAGACGGGGAAAGCGCGGGGGCGGGTAGGGGGAGGATGAGGGGAAGCGCAGGCGGGGGGGATGGCTGGGGGGAACTGGAGGAGGCGGAGGGAGCAGCGGAGAGGCGCAGGGTTTTAGAGGAGCAGGGGATTGCGCAGCAGCGGAGGGGTTTGGGGTTTAAGGGAGGGAGGGGAGGATACGGCGGTGGCGAGACGGGGAGGTTTGGGGCGGGGGAAGCAAGAGAAAGGAGCGGTGCTGGGAGGGAGGAGACTCGTCTGGCACAGGGTTCAGGGTTTAGGAGAGAGAGGGAAGGTTTACCTGAGGGGAGGAGGGAGGAGACTCGTCTTGCACCGGGTTCAGGGTTTAGGAGAGAGAGGGAGGGTTTACCTGAGGGGAGGAGGGAGGAGAGGAGTGAGATGGGAGTGAGAAGGGAGGCGCGAGAGGAGGGGTGGAAGGCGGCGGGCGAGCAGAGGGGCTATGGGAGGGAAGGACGGGGGGGTGGGTGGGTTGGGGACAGGCGCGTGGGTGGAAAAGAGGAGGACGGTGAGGAAGGGGAGTCGAGGAGCAGAGGCAGCAGCGGCGGCAGCAGAGGCAGCAGGGGCGTGAGCAGGCGGCAGTGGGGGGAGTATGGGGAGGAGGAGGACAGGGGCGAGCGGGGGACAAGGTCGTTTGGGGTTGCAGCAGCAGCAGCAGCAGCAGCAGCAGCAGCAGGAGCGACCGCAGCCGCAACGGCAGCAGCAGGCGCATCTCTCCTTCCCCTCACAGCAGCCGCCCCTTCTTCCCCTGCCCTGCCTTCCGCCCCTTCCCCTTCCCGTTCCCCTTCTCCTCCCCTCTCCACTTTCCCCTCCCCTTCCCCCTCCCTTTCCCCCTCCCTTTCCGCCTCCCCTTCCACCTCCCCCTCCGCCTCCCCCACCTCTTCGCGCGCCCCCAAGCTGAAGCTGGCGCGGCCGCGGGGGGTGCCGTCCCCAGGGAAACCGGGGGAGGGCGTGAGGCCAGGCGTGCCGGTGTGCTACGGGTGCGGGGCAGAGCTGCAAACACGCGTGGAAGACGCTCCTGGGTACATTCCCCCTGACCGATACGAGATGGTGAGTACAGAGCACAGGATAGGCGTTGAGGGGAGGGCGTGAGGCCAGGCGTGCCGGTGTGCTATGGGTGCGGGGCGGAGCTGCAGACGCGTGTGGAGGACGCCCCGGGGTACATTCCCCCCGACCGATACGAGAGTGTGAGTCCTGTGTTGAGTTGAGTGCTGCGGGCGGGCCAGCTCAGACTCTCAGAGCACAGGGAAGGCCTTTTGAGTCGACTCAAAAGACTCTCAGAGCACAGGGAAGGCCTTTTGAGTCGACTCAAAAGACTCTCAGAGCACAGGGAAGGCCGGGGGAGGGGAGGGCGTGAGGACGGTTGCGCCGGTGTGGTGTGCTATGGGTGTGGGGGGGAGCTGCAAACACGTGTGGAGGACGCCCCTGGGTACATTCCCCCTGACCGATGCGAGATGGTGAGTCCTGTGTTGAGTTGAATCTTCTGTGGGTGGATGGGCGTAGAGCAGAGCACAGGATAGGTAGGCGTTGAGGGGAGGGCGTGGGGGCGGGTGTGCCGGTGTGGTGTGCTATGGGTGTGGGGCGGAGCTGCAGTCACGGGTGGAGGAGGCCCTTTCAGAAGCGGCGTGGCGTCACAAGCAGCTGCGGTCGCTGGTGTGCACGCACGCGCTGCCAGCAACTCTCCAACGGTCGCGCACGAGCTCTCAGCCGTCACAGGCCACAGCACCTTTGCAGAACCCAAACGATCCAAAGCTCCTTCTCCTCCCCCTGCCACCTCCCACCCCCTTCTCCCTTCTGCCAGAAAAAACGCCACAAGCAGCTGCGGTCGCTCGTGTGCGCGCGCTGCCAGCAGCTCTCCCACGGCCGCATGGTGGCAGCCGTCACGGGCCACGGCAGCACCTAAGGGATCCAAAGCTCCTTCTCCTCTCCCCGGAACCCCCCCCACTCCCCCCGTGTCCCTTATCCCAGAAAAAACGCCACACGCAGCTGCGATCACTTGTCTGCACGCGCTGCCAGCAGCTGTCCCACGGCCGCATGGTACCCCCGTCAGTTGACTTTGAGTCGACTCAAAAGTCAGCTGTCCCACGGCCGCATGGTACCCCCGTCGGTTGACTTTGAGTCGACTCAAAAGTCAGCTGTCCCACGGCCGCATGGTACCCCCGTCAGTTGAATTTTGAGTCGACTCAAAAGTCAGCTGTCCCACGGCCGCATGGTACCCCCGTCAGTTGAGTTTTGAGTCGACTCAAAAGTCAGCTGTCCCATGGCCGCATGGTACCCCCGTCAGTTGACTTTTGAGTCGACTCAAAAGTCAGCTGTCCCATGGCCGCATGGTACCCCCGTCAGTTGACTTTTGAGTCGACTCAAAAGTCAGCTGTCCCACGGCCGCATGGTGCCCCCGTCACTGGGCAGCAAAACACCCTAAGCGATCCAAAGCTCCTTCTCCTCTCCCCGTATCCCCCCCTTCTTTCTTCTCCCAGAAAAAAACGTCACAAGCAGTTGCGCTCTCTCGTGTGCACGCGCTGCCAGCAGCTCTCTCACGGTCGCATAGTGGCAGCCAGCCGTCACGGGCCACGGCAGCACCTAAGCAAACCAAAACTCCTCTCCCCGGACAACCCCCTACTTCCCCCTTCTCCCAGAAAAAACGTCACAAGCAGTTGTGCTCTCTCGTGTGCACGCGCTGCCAGCAGCTCTCCCACAGCCGCATGGTAGCAGCCATCACAGGCCACGGCAGCACCTAAGACAACCAAGGCTCCTTCTCCTCTCCCCAGACACCCCCTTCCCGTCTCCCGTCTCCCTTCTCCCGTCTCCCTTCTCCCGTCTCCCGTCTCCCTTCTCCCGTCTCCCTTCTCCCGTCTCCCTTCTCCCGTCTCCCTTCTCCCTTCTCCCTTCTCCCTTCTCCCGTCTCCCTTCTCCCGTCTCCCTTCTCCCTTCTCCCGTCTCCCTTCTCCCTTCTCCCTTCTCCCTTCTCCCTTCTCCCTTCCCCCGTCTCCCTTATCCCAGAAAAAGCGCCACAAGCAGCTGCGATCACTGGTCTGCACGCGCTGCCAGCAGCTCTCCCACGGCCGCATGGTAGCAGCCGTCACGGGCCACGGCGGTTACCGCGTAACCGGCCCGGCGGACATGTTTGTGACAGCGGAGGCGCTGCGGCAGCAGCTGACGTACGTGCGCGGGGAGAAGGCGCTGGTGGTGAAGCTCGTTGACCTTGTTGACTTCAGCGGAAGCTTCCTCTCAAGGATTCGCGACATCGTGGGACCGAACCCTATTGTTCTGGTTATCACCAAGGTGAGGGAAGAGGACTTAAGAGCATTCTCAAGGGTGGAGGATGGAGGGGCATGCACACATCTGCCCGTTGCCCCCTACCCCTTGCCCCTCACTGCTCCCTGTCGCCTCCTTCCCCCTGCTTCGTCGCTCGCAGATGTGGACCTAAGCCTAATCCCTGCCCTAATTCTGAACTCCGAATTCTTTAACACCCCCAATCCCCCTCTCCCCCTTCCACAATGCAGGTGGATCTGGTACCAGAGGGCACGCACATGGACCCGGTGGCGGACTGAGTGCTGGCAGCCTCCATGCGCCCTTGCCCCTTAACCCCCTGCCCCTGAGCTAACCCCTCCCCATGCTTGCTAATTCCTTCCCTCCCCCCCCCCCCCCTGCTCCCCTTCCACAATGCAGGTGGATCTGGTACCAGAGGGCACGCACATGGACCCGGTGGCGGACTGGGTGCTGGCAGCTGTTGCGAAGAAGAAACTCAAGTGAGTTCTTATTTCCCGGGCCGATGCGTGAGAGATTTAAGGCGTTGGTTCAGGGTTGCGATCAAGGCTTGGCTGTTAACTTCGGACTTGCTGGCAAATTGGGTGCTTGCGGCGGCTGTTTGAATAATGAGAGAGTTGCACCGGCTTGTGCAGGCAGGAAGGGGGGGGCTTGAACTCGGTATTGGTAAGGCGACTTGAAAAGGCGGGTTACGGGGTGAATGAAGTAGTGCGGAAATCGTTGAGAATCACTGCTTCTTGCCGCTTTGCCCGATCCACACCCGCATGCCCCTGCGTTCCCCCAGTGTGCTGGCGGTGCACTTTGTGAGTGCCAAGGCGCGCACGGGGCTGTCCTCTGTGGCTGCAACCATTCAACGTGAACGCCAGGTGCGCCTCTGCTCTGCTTCCCCACAGGTGCACTGCACTGCACGCCGCCAGGTGCACTGCGTTCTCGTTTGACATGTCTCGCAGCAACCTTTCCTATTTTACACACACGAAACAGAACGCCAGGTGTGCTCTCCGCGTATTTGCCTTCCACCGTCGTCCTCCGCTCGCTCCCCTCTCCACTGCCTCCCTCCCCAACGGCCCTCTCCCTACTCATCATATCAACTCAATCGCTTGCCATTTGTGTCACTCAGCATGTCCATTCCTCCTCTCATCCCAATTTCTGTTGCATCAAGCTCATGCTTCCTTCTTTCCGTTTCCCCTCACACCATCAACCCCCTCCCTACCTACCTTCTCCTCCTCCTCCTCCTCCTCCTCCTCCTCCTCCTCCTCCTCCTCCTCCTCCTCCTCCTCCTCCTCCTCCTCCTCCTCCTCCTCCTCCTCCTCCTCCTCCTCCTCCTCCTCCTCCTCCTCCTCCTCCTCCTCCCCCTCCTCATGCTTGCTGTGTGCAGGGACGAGACGTCTATGTCCTGGTAAGCCCAACCAAAAACCACTGCCAACCACATCGGCAGAAGAGTCCCTTGCGCATGCATGCTATCTCCCGTTGCATGCATGAGACTCACTCTCCCATGTACGAGCTGCACTCTCAGTGTTCTCACTTATCATGCATGAAAACTCACTCATCATCATTCCCGTCTGTGCTCTTATGTCCCCACTGTGCTCTTATGTCCCCACTGTGCTCTTATGTCCCCACTGTGCTCTTATGTCCCCACTGTGCTCTTATGTCCCCACTGTGCTCTTATGTCCCCACTGTGCTCTTATGTCCCCACTGTGCTCTTATGTCCCCACTGTGCTCTTATGTCCCCACTGTGCTCTTATGTCCCCACTGTGCTCTTATGTCCCCACTGTGCTCTTATGTCCCCACTGTGTCACTGCCTGCCTCTCACCTTTTCCCACATGGCCCCTCAACTCCTCTTCACATTTTAATCACTAACCTGTCTTCAAATGTATCTTCTATGGCGCTTCCCTCTGCATTACTCTTTTTCTCTTTTCTCACCTCTTCTCTCCCCTCTCCCCTCATCTCTTCTCTAACGTTCCTCACTCTCTTCAACCTTCTCCCTGTCCCTCCTCCTCCCCTGTCTCTGTTCCAATGCTGCCATCACTGCCACCCCTGGCATCTGGGCAGGGAGCAGCCAATGTGGGCAAGTCTGCTTTCATCTGCGCGTTGCTAGGTATGCGGTCTGGTTTGAGGTGTCTCAAGCTCTGCTGGTTACAAATTTCTTGATCGTGTTTTGCCTCGCACCGCCATCATCACAGGCATCACAACAGCAGCGCATGAGAAACTGAGCCTGAGCATCACAGACGCACAACTGCAGATGCACTTTAGACGTTTCATGAGAGCATCTCGGATGCATCATATCACCAGCAGCTTCTTTTCCTTTCCTGTTCTCATGCATATGCATATGGGTGTAAACAAATACCACTGTTTTCATATTAGTATTCGATATTCGACAAATATCAAATATAAATCAAATACAAATACCCCTTACTACTCGAAAGTATTTGTCGTTCGAGTATTCGAGTATTCGGTTCAAATAACCGGTTATTTGAATACATATTCGATTCGCTTTTGAGTTACTGAACCACCCAAACCAGCTGATATTATTCACGAAATCTTGAGTAAACAATACAAAGGACTCTGCAGAACGGCCATCAGAGCCATGCTAACTGAGCAAGGGGCCAATAAGAGTAAAAAGGGCAGCAACGGCGCACACGCTGCAGCTCCTCACGTTCCCATGCACATGCACCTCTACCATCCACCCTGCACCCCCTTTCCTTCTCATATCAACCCCATCCCATAGACGAGATGGCGAGTCGGGACATCATGGCAGCAGCAGCGCGGCGTCGTCGCCCCGTGGCCTCTGCCATGCCAGGCACCACCCTGGGACCCATCTGCCTCAAGGCTTTCTCCGGTGGAGGGGTGAGTTAAGCACTGTACAGCACGTGGCCTTCTCTGGTTGGTGCTATACCAACCCCATTCCCTCCCACGTTTCCCATTCTGGTTGATGTGTACAGCACCCGGGGCGCATGTGCACCATGTGTAGTGGAGGGGAGATGCGTCTGCTCCTCTTGTGTTCTATCTTTTTTTCCAGTCTTTGTCTGATACATCCACTCCCCCTGCGTTTCCCCCAGGATCTGTACGACACGCCCGGGGTGCATCTGCACCATCGCATGGCCGCCATGCTGCATCCGTGGGATCTGCACCACCTCGGCCCGAAGCGACGGCTGAGATCGTTTGTTGTCACTGGGCCTCTGGAGCAGCACACAGGCGCAGGCAAGGGAAGGGAAAAAACAGAAGAGAAAGCGGAGAAAGCGGAGAGGGGGGAGAAAGGAGAGAAAGGAGAGCAGAAAGAGAGTGTGGAGGAGGCAGGAGGAGAAGCGCGTGCAGAGGAGGGCACCAGTGGAGAGCAGAAGGGGCTTCAAGGCACCTCTCTCTTCTGGGGCGGCCTCGTTCGGATCGATGTGGTGAAGGCGCCAGCTGGCACAGCTCTCACCTTCTTTGGCCCCGTGGCCATCCGCGTATCCACCGTGCCCACCCCTGCCGCCAATGCCTTCTATGAGGTTTGGTTTCCTTTCCTACCTCCTTCCTGCCAATACATGCCTTTCGGGCACCTTCTCACTGCACTGCACACCTCCTCATCCCTCTCCCCGGACCCTATATGTGTGGAATCCCCACACCAGTTCCATCTCACCCTCCCTCGCATCCTCTGCTCTCTCATACCCTCGCCTTCCGCACGTCCTCTGTGCCTCACATGTCTGGCTGACGTGGCAGGCTGAGGTGGGTCGACTGCTAGTGCCGCCATCCAAGCCATTGGAGGAGCCAGCTTGGGAGGGGCTGCCGTCGCAGCGGGCCTTCTCCTTCCGCCTGCCTGCCAAGCGCTCCAGGTGCGTTTTGCATGTATAGTTGTCCTTCGACAATGGTTTCCAGCCGGGCTTCCACAAGTGATTATTGTCCCATGCCATTTGCCATACACCATGCACCATCATTTATTGGCATACATTCTTCCTGTGGTTTTGCCTCAAAACGGCCTGTGGTCTGTCCCTCCTGCCCCAACCCACCAGCCCGGTAGCTGACATTGCAATCTCCGGCCTCGGGTGGGTCTCCTTGTCTGGCGTAAAGTCACGTCAGCGCACCAACCCCGATGCTGACGTGTCATCAAGTGACGCCACCACCAGTTCACATGCTGGACACGTGGAGCCTACTGGCAGCTGGGATGATCCCGATGCTGCGAACGACGCTCGCGGCGGTATCACTCGCTTCGAAGGCCCTGGTAACCAAACGCCGGGCATGGGTTACAATGACGAAGATGGTCATGGGAGCAGCGGTTTGTTCGGAAAGCAAGAAAGCGATGTGGAGGTAGTGGTGCATGTGCCCAAGGGCATTGAGGTGTTTGTAAGGCCTCCCATGCCTGTTGGGTGGTTTGCCAACGACTGGTATCAGTATGAGGAGCTCAGCGAGAAAGAGGAGATGTCGCGGCCTCGGGTGTTCCACGATGAAGCTTAAATGTCAGCCTAGTCCATGCGTTCACATGTACTTTCAAAGCACTAAAAATCACCATCTGTGTGAACTAAAGTGCATCAGAAATATATGTCCTCCTTTTTTAGTGGATAAATGAGATATACGGTACAAACAAATGTTCTGATTAAAATTCACTCAGCTCCCTCATTGGTCTCGCCCGCTACAGAGCCTCGCACTCAGGGCTGTCGAGTCAAGGGCATTTGCCCTTAATGCCCTGAACATTCCGGGCGAGCTCACAGCCAGCTTCAGCATTTCAAAGGGCTGGTTTCGAGGGAAGCCCGTTTTTCTTACGGGCTGGTTTTGAGAAATAGGGGTCCTAACCCGGATCCGTTAATGGCTGGTTCGGGGCCTTTCCCTGATTTCCCGGATCAGGAGTAGAGTAGCCCTGCGAGTTGCCCAAGTTGCCACTCTTCTCCTCCCACTCTCATCCTCCCTGTATCTCCCACAAGCTATCTACTTAGGCACGAAAGGACTTTCTTGTGTTGATGTTATGGCTGTAGTTGCAAAATATTTTCAGGTCAATTCGTCTCCTCACAGTTCCAAGTACTCACACTGGACTCGCGACACTGACGCCCTACGAGGCCAAGAGGAAATTGCCCCATCAGTTCACACTAGTAGTACCACATGGAAAACGACCACCTCGGAAGTGCTTTGCGATTGTACACACGAGTTTAAGCGACTTCTTTGCTGACGATGTTTTGCCCCGACCCCTCTCCTCCCCCCCTCCCACCCCACTTCCCCCCTCACTGTAGGTATGCAGATGAGTCGTTAGCATACTCCTTCCCGCTGCTAAGTAATAGGTTGAAGCCCGGATGTCAAGTTTTGTGCCATTACGGCTCACGTACATTTTTGTAGGAAGCCCGGATGTCAAGTTTTGAATTTGACCTGCGCCCGTGATCGTTAAGGGCTAAAAAACGGTCACCTTCGCGAAAATCAGGGCCAAACTTCGAACAGCTCATAACTCCAAGTGTTGGTCCCAGGGACTTCGACAGGCCTGCTCGCACTACAGGATCACAGACCCACCCTAGATATTGGTTGCTTGTCTGTCATGTGTACGTGAAACCTAGAAATAGTTCCCGTGTTTTCGCAAACGGAGTTCGGGATCGAGATGATCCCGATTGTAGTCGGGAATCGAGCGGCCAATATTCGGACGTATTCGTCTTTACTCGAGTAATGGTATAGAATCTTTTCTGAAGTAGTTCTCTGTAGTTCTTCCGGGACTGACGACTAGCGGAAATGGCGGGCGTCGGGGAAGCTCCGCCGCCTGCTCCTCCGCCTCCGCCTGCCATGGCTGCTCCGCCAGGTGCCCCACCAACGATGCTTCCGCCGACGACGGAAGAGACAGTCCCGCTGAGCCTGCTGACCACTGCGACGGTTCAGCAGACCATGCGAGAGCTGCGACAGCTGAGCGAGTCGCTCGCTGCGTCGCGTGCGACGGCGGAGGCGAGCGGGCGAGGTCCCGACGACGAGAAGCAGCGGAAAGTCGCTCTGCTGAAATTCCTTTGGCATACGCGACAGAAGCTGCTGCGGCTTCTCGTTGTAACGAAATGGTGTAACCAGCTGCCCGTGATCGAGCGGTGCAAGCAAGCGTGGACCGCGCTGGCCAATCACGACGCAGCGTTTGTGCAAGCTGCGGACGGATTATGGATGACTCACGCGCAGATCCAAGGCGCGCGCGCGCCGCTCTACGACGTTCCCACCGCCGTCGAAATCCTCTCCACGCACGCTTACCGCCGGCTACCCGCTTGCGTAGACGATCTGCAGCTCCCGCCGAACCTGATGCTGCAGAGGCTCGGGCCAGCTTCGGTGGCAGGGTTGGTACCGCCTGCAGGGGTTGCTGCAGCAGCGACGGCAGCTGCTGAAGCTATGAGATTGCTGGGAGGGGAGGAGGACGAGGAGGAAGAGGAGGAAGAGGAGGGTGAGAGGGAGGGGAAGGGGAAAGGGAAAGAGGAAGAGGAGGGAGAAGTGGAGTATAAGGGCGTGAAGGGAACCACCATTCCTGCTGATTCTGCTGCTGGCTCTAACGCTGCCGCTGCTGCTGCTGCTGCTGCTGCTGCCGTGACTGCTGCCACACCCGACGCCACAGCACCAGCTGACTCTATCCCAGTTATGCCCGAGACGGCCAAGGCGAAGCGCGCGAGGCTGAGAGCCGCCAGGCGTAGCGGCAGGCGAGCCGCCATAGAGCAGATTAACTCCTTCCTGCGAACGCGGCTGCTGGAAACACCTATTCCCGCGGAGGTGACGCGGGTGCGGGTTGGAGGCGGGAAGGTGCGCGTGTATGTGGAGGGCGAGTATCAGGCGGACATCACTGCTGGGTATATGTCCAACCTGTCTCTTTGGAAGGTGATTAAAGTGAAGATTCTTGTACGGGGCGCGGAGAACGCGGCAGAGGGGGATGGGGAGGAGGAAGAGGAAGAAGAGGAGGATGAAGAGGAGGAGGATGAAGGGGAGGGAGAGGGCAGAAAAGAGAGGAAGAAGCGGGGCCAACAGCGATCACAGGGGAGGAAAGGCACGGCGTCAAGGCAGCACGGAGGGGCACGCAGGGTGAAGTGCATCAAGGGCATTCCCATGAGCGAGGTGCAGCAGATGGCGCTAGCAGATGAGCTGCAGCGACGCATGGCAGCAGCAGCCGAGGACCCAATCACAGCCCTTCACGTGGTGCTCCACCAGGTGTGCTGCGGCGTGGCAGCGGACGAGATTCTTCTGCAGCTGCACGCGCTCTGTGCCGCCCGCTGGCGCCATCATGTCAAGTTCGAGGTCGCCGCCCGGGACGCGGGCGGCGGGAGAGGGGGACCGGGGGGTGTGGGGACGTCTGGGGGACCCAGTGGGAGCAAAGGATGGGTGGCAGGGGGAGGGGGAACAGGGGGAGTAGCAGGGGCAGGGGGACTTGGGGGAAAGGGCGGGGTGGGGGGAGCGCGGGTCAGTGGTTCAGGAGCAGCAGCATCGAGTGGGGGGCCAAAGGAGGGGGAACGTTCCGGGGCAGCAGAGGCAGGAGCAGGAGGAGCCGGGGCAGGAGAAGCGGCCGGGGGTGCAGCGGGGTTGCCAGCGGTACCAGAGGCATCCCCTGCGGTGCTGCACGTGTGGTACTGGCTGGACCCGGGGAAGGGTGAGAGCACAGGGGGCTCGTCTTCAGCTGTGCTGGTGCGGCTGGGTATTGTCAGCTTTGAAAGCGCGGACGAGCCGCCACCCTGCCTCACTCTCTCCCTCGCCCCACCCCCCACCACCCCTCCTCCTCCTCCCATCGTCCCTCCTGCCTCTGCTCCAGGCTCTTCTGCTGCTGCCACCGCTGCTGCTGCGGTTGTTCCTGGTCCTCCTCCCTCCTCTCTCTTCTCCCGCCAGCCGTTGCGCACCCAGCTCATATGCCAGCACACGCCGCCTGTGGTGGACCCCGAGACGGGCGGCGAGGTTTGTCTCTATCTGGACCCGAGCAGGATTGATGTGGAGAAGCTGGTGCTGTTTGCCGCCCGGTGCTCGGCGCATGCCAAGCTGGCGCGGTTAAGGCGAGACCTGCTGGCGGCTCCGCTGCTCTGCTCCGGGCCCCAAGACGTGCTGCTCTCCTTCCCTCCCCCCCCCTCTTTCTCCCTCTACCGCTCCTCATCACTCTCCACCGCTTACTCTCCCTTCGCTGACCCCCCTCCTCCTCCACCTCCTCCTCCGCTGCATCCTTCTGTAGATGCTGCAAAAAGTGCAGTGCTGCCGAAGGAAACGCCAGGCAAAGGGGGGAAGGAAAAAGGGGGAGGGGGGTTGAATGACGTTCTGAGGAAGCTGGGGAGTGTTTTGGGGAAGCGCAAGCTGCTGATAGAAGCTCTGTCGTTTGACAATGCAGGCATGCCTGACAGTGGTGGTGTTGAGGATTATGCCGGTGATCATGGTGGTGGTGGTGTTTCTTCAACTTCAACCCATGATCACCTGCCAAGAGGCAAGAAGCAGAGGCAGGGAGACGATGGGAGAGGGGAGGCATCAGCTGGGAGTGGAGAGCGGTGGAGAGGCAGCAGCAGAGGTGGGGAGAATTGGGGCAGGGAAGCGTCTGGGTCGAGAGGGAGGGAGGTGCTGTGGGTGCGGGCGTGTGGCGACTGGTTTGCTGCAATCGGCGTGAACACGCGGACCGGGCGGTACGAGGTGTGGGCGGGCGGCAAGGGCTTGTCCTGGGCGGCGGCGAGGGAGGTGGAGGGGGCGCTGAACAGTGGGAGCTCGACAGCTGGCGACGCGCTGGTGCTGCTGCGGCTGCACTGCCTGCACGCCCAGCTCACAGCGGCGGGCATGGCTCTGGGTCTCGTGGTGAGTTAAGTTTGCACTGCCTGTGGGCTGTGGGCTGTGGCCTGTGGGGGTGTAATGGGTTTCATGGCGACGCGCTGGTGCTGCTGCGCCTGCACTGCCTGCACGCTCAGCTCACAGCGGCGGGCATGGCTCTAGGATTGGTGGTGAGCAGGGCTTGGCTGGGTGCTGTGGGGCTGTGATGGGTTCAAGGGAATTAGCTGGTCTTGAGCTGCTGCGGCTGCACTGCCTGCACGCCCAGCTCACCACAGCGGGCATGGCTCTGGGTCTCGTGGTGAGCTGGGTTGGGCTGTGGATTGAATGTTTTTCACGGGAATGTTTTGCTGCTGCTGCGGCTGCACTGCCTGCCCGCAAAACAGTAACGAATTGAACGTGTTGGTTCCCTTCTCTGTCGCTTTTCCAAATTACTACCTCTGCCTTCAACCTTGCTCTTTCCCCAACCCCCTCGCACCACTCTTCTCCTCTCCTCCCCACACACCCTACTTTCAAACACCCACTCAACACACACAGCCACACCCCCTCCTCCCTGTCTCCCCCTTTTAACCAGCCGTACAAGGCGGGCCCAGCAGGCATTCGATACACATCAGACGACCCAGCGCACCCCCTCACTCTCCCGCCACCGCCCCGCACACTCCTCTTCACCCTCTCGCACCCTCCCTTCCTCCCCTACCCAACCCCATCCTCTCCCTCACCACCCCACTGTACTCCTCCTCCCTCCGACTCTCCACCTCCCAACCCCCCCTCATGGCCGCCCTATCTGCTCGCCATTCTCATACAAGCGGATTTTTCCCTCTCCTTCCGTCTGCTTCAGCTCACACCCCCGCCACTGCCCCCTCTAGTGCCACACCCTGCTGCTGCTGGGACCAGTACCGCTGCCACTGGAGCTAGTGCTGGTGCTGGTGCTGGTGCAACTGGTGTAGGCGCTACTGCTGCTGCTGGTGCTCCCGGTACCTCTGCTGCAGCAGCAGCTGGGCAGTCACTTGTAGCGTCGCTCGCGCCGCCAGGTGTCACGCGCTGGTTGGCTCTGGAGGTGTGCGCGCTGGTGTTGGCGGCTGGAGATCCCGAGGTGGTGGCCCTGGCTGGCTCTGGGGAGAGGGAGGGTTTAGATCGGGGGAATGGGGGGAGGAGTGGGGGAAATGTGGAAGGAGGGGGGAAGGAGATGGTGGGAGGTTGGGAGGAGCTTCTAGATGTGGCAGATGACTGGGAGAGTGATAGTGAGGGGGATAGTCAGGGGAATGATGAGAGGGATGGCAGGCACGGAGAGGTGGGCAACGATGGGGAGATGGACAGAGCGGGGCGAGATGACGAGGCAGAAGGTGCAGAGCAAGCAGCAGCCGTTGATCGCAAGCAGGGTGCGAATCGTGGGGCTGGGACCGTCACTGCCGCTGCAGCGGTTGAAAGCGGTGGTGTTGATAAAGACACCGCACCCATCAAGAAGCGCAAACGCCACCACACCATTCACCACCCATCCCAACCCCTGCACTGCGCTCTGATTGGCCGGCCGCTGCAGGAGCTGGTACAGCTGGCAGGGCGCGGCAAGGCCCCTGTGTCCCTCATCTTCCCCCTCGTGCTGTCCCGAGCCCAGCACCTCGCTGCTGCTGCCGTCAAACACTCCCTCCTCTCCTCCCTCCTCTCCTCTGCTGGTGTCTCCACCGTTCCCTTCCTCTCTGCTGCCTCCTCCTCCCCCTCCTCCTCCTCCTCCTCCTACTCCTCACTCTCCACCTCGTCCCCCTCTCACTTCCCCTGTCTGCCGCCCCTCATTTCCTCCTCCCTCTCCTCCTTTTCTGCTTCTCCCTCGGATTTCTCTTATCCACCATCCACTGTCCGTCCCTCCTCCCTCGTCTCCCCTCAAACCCTGCTGCGGATACCGGGCTTTCCCCCTCCTGCAGCATCAGCTGCACTGCCCCCAGATACCGCCTCCCCCTGGCAGTCCCTGCTGCTGAGATCCGATTCGCCGGCCACTGCCAGCTGGTCCGTGCTGGTGCCAGCTCAGCATTTTGTCAGCTTGTGGCAGCTTCAGGAGTTTTGTCAGCTGCGGCAGCAGCAGCAGCAGCAGCAACAGGAGTTGGAAATAGAGCAAGGAGGAAGATTCCTTAGACTTGCCGAACCTGTGCATGCACCCGAACTGGCGGGTGATGCTGCCGAACCTGATGCTACCAAACCTGGTGTCACGAGGTTCGGGAGAACGAGAGCAAGCAGGGTCGGAGGGGGTGAGCACCTTATGAAACGCCTCCTTGGCACGTGTGTGTGGGCCCGGGAAGGAGTTGCGTACAGTGATGAGAGCACAGGTGATAGCAGCGCCACCACCACTACCAGTCCTGCCTTTACTACTGCCTCTGCCTCTGCCTCTGCTTCCACTGCTGCCAGTACTACCAGAACCAATGAGTCTAGCATCAGAGCCAGGGGCGCTGCGCCAGACATGCGATGCACTCCTGAGGGACTCCTGCTGACGTGTCACAGCATGAGCCGATCCGCCATTGCCAGCATGGCGCGTGACCTGGCGTGCGCGTGGCAGGCTTTCCTCTTCATCCGCCAGCTCAGACGCATCCTGATTGGCCGACGCAAGTCAGCAGCGGGAGGGGAAGGGGGAGGAAGGGAAGGGAGGATTGGGCGAGGGGGGGAGGTGGTGGGAGTGCCAGTGGTGGGGGATAGGGAGGAGATGGTGAGGCGGTGGGGGGAGGTGAGGCGGACGGTGAGGGTGGTAGCTGTGGGCACCACATCTGTCTCTCTTTCATACGACGGTGGTATGCTCATGCCAGGCTGCCCTGTGCGCGTCCAGATTCAATGGTTCCCAGCTGCCTCTACTGCTTCTCCTGCTGCTTCTGCCGCTGCTCGCAGCGCTGGTGATGAGTTGACTGGGGCAATGAAACGGGAGGATAATCTGGATGCGGGTGGCATTCGCGCTGATGCTGCTGCTCGTGCTGCTGCGGGTGGCGCTGGTGGTGGTGACGATTGGGGAGATGTGTCATTAGCTGTGGATTGCCGAGTCGTGGTTTCACCTGACGACTTGTGGCCGCACACACAGGTACACATGTGGTGGCCTTCCCAGAACCTGTCATTTACCTGTGCTCATTGCAACCACAATTCCTCCTTTCATTCTCCTGTTATTTCTTCCTTACTTCCAAATCCCCCTTTTTCCGCCTTTTCCTCTGTCCCTCGCAGTATCTAGAGGAGTGTGTGCCAATGGACGATGCAGGGCTGCTGCTGGACGCCATTCGCCGCACAGCAGTGTGATAGCGATCTAGGTTTGAGACCTCTCAGAACTTTTCTTTCACTCCCTGTCTTCCTGTGTCCCTCGCAGTACCTAGAAGAGTGTGTGCGCATGGACGATGCAGGGCTGTTGTTAGATGCCATTCGCCGCACAGCAGCGCCGACCAGAGCCTGGAAACCGACTCTGTCCTTCCTTTTTCCTTTTTTCCCTGTCTTCCTTTACCCCTTGCAGTACCTAGAGGAGTGTGTGCGCATGGACAATGCAGGGCTGCTGCTGGATGCTGTTCGCCTCACAGCAGCCCAATCCTTCTCGCTCCTTTCCGCTCATCCGAATCCCATTCTCTATTTATTCTTTGTCCCCTCCTTTTCGTCCTCTGTCCGTGGGCAGTACCTAGAGGAGTGTGTGCGAATGGACGATGCAGGGCTGCTGCTGGACGCCATTCGCCTCACAGCAGCTCCGCTGCACGCCCTGCACTCCGCCATCCGCCCCCTCCGCTCCCTCTCCGTCCCTCCCTCCGCCCTGCCGCCCTCGCACCTACACCACCATGCACAGCAGCAGCCACACGTGCAGCCATCGCATTCTAATGCTCCTGCACATGCTGCAGCAGCTGGTGCAGGCGCTACTGCGTCTGCTCCTCCTGCTACTACAGCACCACCACCTGAAGCTTCTGGTTCCGCTGCAGCCTCAGCAAGTGGCCCAGCCGCTGCCACTGCAGCACCCACTGCAGCCCCAGCAGGAGCATCATCAGCAGCAGCGGCAGCGGCAACAGCAGCAGCAGCAGCAGCAGGGGCATCTCGAGGGCTGATGGTGGGAGCAACACTGTGCTCTCTCCTCCCAGGAGACATCACAATCATCCCGCGCGGCCCCTTCTCCTTCCGCATCGTCTACCGCCACGACTTTGCCATCCACATGCGCTGCTTCGCCCCCGACTTCGTCTGGTTGCAGCCCGCCCCGCCGCCCAAATCCTACGACCTGCCGCCCGGACTCGTCGCGATGTTCCCTGAAGGCTCTGCTGCTGTTTTGGCTGCAGCGGAAACTCCCAGTGGTGCTGCTGGGAGCGGGAACAGGGGTGGTGGGAACAGGAGAGGTGGGGCATTGGGAGCACCCACTCCAGGCATTGGCTATCCGAGTGGGTCACCCAGTGGTGGTTCTGCTGGTGTTGCAGCAGCAGCGAGTGGGGTGATTCGAGGGGATCTGTCTCTGGGAGGGTCCTTGCCCTGCCCACAGTTCCGCCCGTTCATTCTGGAGCAGGTCTCTCTGCTGCTCTCACAGCTCTCACATGCGCCTGACCTGCCCCCCGCTGCTGCTGCTGCTCTTCCTCCTGCTTCCACCGCTCCTGCTGCTGCTGGTCCGGGTGCTGGCAGGCTCGGGAGGACAGGGTCGGGGATGGAGAGCCTGGGAGCAGGAGGGCAGCATTCGGCCGGTCCCAGCAGCTCACATCACCAGCAGCAGCAGCAGCAGCAGCAGCAGCAAAGCATGCATCCTCAGAATCACCAGCAGCAGCAGCAGAGGGTGGAGATGCTGCGGTGGCAGCACATGGCAGCATCCCTCGCCTCCTCAGTGCGAGCAGAGTCCCACACGGCGATGGTGGGGTTGTCAGACGATGGCGGGTACGGCGGGGCGTGGGTGCCCGTGGTGCTGCTGAAGCGGGTGCTGCGCAGCATGCTGCGGTACCTTGGGACCATCGCGCTCTTCGCTCGCTTCCCCTCCGTGCTGGCGGCTGTGCTGGGCCCGGCCATGGGGACCAGGGAGGCTGGGCTGCTGTCGCAGGATCCGGAGCAGCCTGCTTTACGGTTCTTCATCGGGTGAGTCCTCATGTCCTTGTGCTACCCTTCATCTGCAGCTTTCTTTCTCCCCTTTCTTAAGAACCAAGTGCGCATGGCAAATCTGTATTGTCATCATATCATGCTGAGTTGTGCACTTGTGTCATTTCCCTCCCCCATTTCACTCCCCCATTTCCTTCCCCCATTTCCCTCCCCCATTTCCCTCCCCCATCCCCCTCCCTCATTTCCCTCCCCCATTTCCCTCCCCCATATCTCTCCCCCATTTCCCTCCCCCATCCCCCTCCCCCGATTTCCTGCCAAACCTCCGTCTCCTCCGCTCCAGCAATTATGTGTACATGGTGAATCTGCACCGCCATCGCCGCCCTACTGCTGGAGACCAGCTGCAACTCATGCTTCAAGTGAGTGCCCTTCCATGCCATGCACTTCTATATCATGCCATAGCCTTGGTACGATGTCGTAACATGCCATGTCACATCATGCCATCCCTACACCTCATGCTGTAGTGAAGGTCAATGCTGTGCTGTCATAGACCATACCTTTCCATTTCATGCCATGCCATACCATAGCATATCATGCCACGTGTGCACTACCAGCACAGTAGCTAGAGTGTGTCAGGCAGGCATAGGGCGTGTTCAATTCTATCTCCTGCCCCGCAACCCCCCATCCAGGTTGTAAACGCCCGCATGGCTCCACAGCGCCGCCCGCCCGCCATGACACCCGACGCTGATGTGGACATGAGCCCTGCTGAGCTGGCGGAGATCAGCGACCTCTTCACGCGCAAGGTGGCGGTGGAGCCCTTCGACGTGTCCCGCCTGTCTTCCTTCGTGACGCTTGTCATGCTCCCATTGGCTGTGATTCGCGAGTTCATGGGCTTGCTGGCCTTGAGACGGGAGCAGCAGCGACTGCTGGCTGCTGCTGCAGCCGCAGCTGCCGGAACAGGCGGGGCAGCAGCAGGGGAGGCAGTATCAGGGGGAGGTACTTCTGCAGGTGTAGCTGGGGCAGGTAACATCCCTGCCATTCCCCCCGCCGCCCGGATCGCAGTAGACCTTTGCTTTGAGAATCGCATCGGATTAGGCTGGGATCTCCCAGATTCGTTTGGGAGACACAGTGGAGGCTCATCTGGGGGAGGTGTATCTGCAGGCCAGGTTCACCCAGGCTCTGCTACAGCCGGGAATGCAGCTGGCAGTGGTAAAACAGCCGACCGCAGCGATATCAGCTACAGCCGGGCAGAAAGCCGAGTGGATTTCTCTCTTGTCCTGCTCATGGACCATGCCGCCCTCTCTGCCGCCCACCTGCCGGTCCAAATCGCGGGCGGCGCAGGCTGGCTGGCTCACTGCATCTCGGTCCGCCTCCGCTTGCACTTCTCCGCCGCCCCTGCCAATGCGGCAGCTGCTGGTGCAGGCGCTGCCTCTGTTGCTCCCGGTGCACGAGGGCCGTTGATTCTGCAGCTGTCTCTGCTGGCCGTTGATGGCAGTCACGGCGGGAAAGCGTGTTGGAGTAAGGCAGAGGACTGGGACAGGTGTAAGCAGCTGATTGGCAGGGCGATCAAGGAAATGCCACCACCACCAGCAGCAGCGGCTGCCGCAGCTGCCACGGCGGTAGCAGCAGGTGGAGGAGTCAAGGAAATGGGGGTGGTGGTGGGAGGTAGAGGGTGGTTGAGAGTGTTATCCGAGAGGTTGCAGGCAGCAGTGCACTCTGCACTGGCCTCGTCTCACAGGGTTTGAGCTAGTCCACAAGTTGTCACATGCCCTGTATCAACCCAGATTAAAGCCGCTGCTACTCAACTATGTTTCACAATCGTGCAAGAGAGTTGCTGCTTGAAGAGTGGTGATAACAAGGAACCAGTATGTTCACCTTGACATCTTGTGATTACAATGGCTGATTCAGTCACTCTGATTTCCCGGAAGGAACTTTGACCACAAAACGTCGAGGGTTTATATGTCAGACTAATTAGAGTAGGTTTTGTGTTCGAATGTTTTGCAGAAATTTTGCATTCTTAGAAGGCTAGTTTTCGCACCCCACTTATGTTGATGAGTAATACACACAACATTGCCAGATCGAAACATTTACACTTTTATCTCCCTTTCTCTTCCATTCGTCTCGTCTGTTCGCACCAAGCCTTCAGTTTCCCTCCAAAGTTTTCAAATTTAACCTCTGCCACAGCCTCGACAGCCAATCCCCGCTTCTCTTTGATAAGCCGAACCACGCCGCTTCGATTCGAGCCTCCTTTCTGCTACCTTACCTGGCGAGCGGCAAACGGAGCGTGGTACGTGCCAGGGAGTGCTTGCAAGGGGGGATTGAAGAGAGTCGTAGGGCGTCGCCGCGCAGAGGCAAGAGTCGAGTCTGTTGGCGTTGCCTCCACCATTCGCCTCCTCTCCTGCTGCGTCTAAACCTCCCCTTGTTGCTCTGCTTCTGTCCTCGTGCATCTCTCCCCTCGATGGAGGGGAATGGCAGGGAGTGCACGGGGGGTGACAAGCTTGCGGGCTCCGTTCCTGCACCGGTGCGAAGACACAACAGCAGCGCTGGTGAGTCGTAGCAGCAGTAGCAACGGCGCTTGTTTCTTCAGCCTAGTTTTTCTCCCCCGAACGCTTTGCCTTTTGTGATGCCAAGCGCTCATCACGTGTATTGCATGTGCTTCACTGCTTTCTCCTTGAAATCTCGCCACTGGTTGGTTTTGGCTCAACTCAGAAGCCACAGACCCCTCCTGTTACAGGTATCAACAGCACACCACGAGCATCCTGGAGCAGCACGCTTGGAGCCTGGAGCACAAGCCGCAGCAGGGTGCCGCTTGGGCTGAAGGAGCTGCAGATTTTGCCAAGTAGGGGAAAACATTCAGCTGGAGCATGGTACGTGCCAGGGGGTGCTTGCAAGGGGGCTGTGAATTGAGTCGTAGGGTGTCGCCGCACAGAGGCAAGAGTCGTGTCTGTTGCCCTTGCTTCCGCCACTCGCCTCCTGCTGCTTCTGACCATCACTTGTTGCACCGCCTCTGTGTGTGTGCGTGTCCCTCTCCCCATGCGCGTGTGTGCCTCACGGCCTGCGAGACGGACGGGAATGGCAGCGAGTGGATGGGGAATCGACACCGCTGCCGTTTCTGGCTTGCACGAGAGACAACCGTACTGCGAGGAGAAAGGGGAGCAACCTGGAGCAGCACGCCTGAAGTGAAGGCATGGCTCAGAGCAGCACGCCTGAAGTGAAGGCATGGCTCAAAGCAGCACGCCTGAAATGAACTGGTGCAGGAGTGGTACGTGCCAGGGATGCTTGCTGGGGGGCCGTGAATTGAGTCGTAGTGAGTCGCCGCGCAGAGGCAAGAGTCGTGTCTCTTGCGTTTGCCTCCGCCACTCGCCTCCTCTTCTTCTGCTTCTAACCCTCCCTTGTTCCACTGCTTCTGTCTGCGTGCGTCTCTCCCTTTGCGTGTGTGTGCCTCGTGGCCTGTGAGATCGGAAATGGCAGGGAGTGGACGAGAAGTGACAAGTGTGCGGGTCTCGTTCCTGCCCGAGACACAGCAGCAACGCTGGTGAATGCAGCACTGGTGAATGCAGCAGCGCTGGTGAATGCAGCAGCTCTGGTGAATGCAGCAGCTCTGGTGAATGCAGCAGCGCTGGTGAATGCAGCAGCACTGGTGACTTGAAGCAGCAGTAGCAACAGTGCCTTGACTTTTCAGCCAAGTGTTCTCCTCCGAACGCTTTGCCTTCTGTGTTTGTGATGCATGCTCTTCATTGCTTTCTTCTTTGAACTCTTGCCAGGTTGGTTTTGGCCTAACTCACAAGCCACGGTTCCTTGTTATTGCGGGTATCAGCAGCAGACCACGAGCAACGTGGAGCAGCACGCCTGGAGCGTGGAGCAGCACGCCTGGAGCGTGGAGCACGGGCCACAGCAGGGTGCTGCTTGGGGCGAATGTGTGGTGCAGGAGCAGCAGGCTCTGCCAAGGAGGAGAAGTGGTACGTGCCAGAGGGTGCTTGCAGGGGGGCCGTGAAGTGTCGCCGCGCAGAGGCAAGTGTCATGTCTGTTGCCCTTGCCTCCACCACTCGCCTCTTCTCCTGCTGCTCCTAACCCTCCCTTGGTGTGCCGTTTTCGTGTGTGTCTCTCTCTCCCCATGTGTGTTTGTGCCTCATGTCCTGCGAGACGGACGGGGAGGTTGCGAGTAGACAGGGGTGGCAGCGAGAGGATGGGGGTGGCAGCGAGAGGATGGGGGAGGCAGCGAGTGGACGGGTTTGGCAGCGAGTGGACGGGGATCACTAGTGGCTGTAGGATGTGAGTGAGTGAATCAAGCAGTTCACCACTTCACCATCTTCCTGCTTTCCGTGTTCCGTTCTCTCTTGTCTACCATCTTTCCTCGGTGCCATGATTCTTTGCAGCGCGGTGCTGTCAGATAATCATGCCACTCTCCTCAGCTCCCTAACCCCTCCTCTCCTGTCCTCTCCTCCTCTCTGCAGCGACTGGTGGTTGCGATGACAGCAAAGACTGCAGTAGCAGAAGCAACAAAGCAACCGGGAGCACAGACAGCGGCAGGGCGCAGCTTGTGCCGAAGGCGTGGTGCAGGCTGCAGCAGCAACCGAGCAGCCTGGAGCTGCACGCCTGAAGTGAAGGCATGGCGCCGAGCAGTGGCAGAGAGGCAGAGTGGCAGGGTGGCTGACGGAGTATGGTACGTGCCAGGGGGTGCTTGCGGGGGGGGCGTGAAGTGAGTCGTAGAGCGTCGCTGCGCAGAGGCAACAGTCGTATCTGTTGCTTTTGCCTCCACCACTCGCCCCCTTTCCCGCTGCTTATAACCCTCCCTTGTTGCTTCGCTTCTGCGTGGCTGTCTCTCTCCTCATGCGTGTGTGTGCCTCACGGCCTGCGAGACGGATGGGGAGGGAGCGGATGGGGAATGGAGGAGAGGCAAGCATTTGTGAGGAGAAACGGCGCCTTGATTCTCATGCTAAGTTTCTTCAAGTCAAAAGGTAACCAGGAGTTCAGATGCACCATGCATGGCATTCTATCTCAGTCCCTTGTCTTCCTCTTCCTTGCCTTCCTTCCTCCCTTCACCTCCAGCACTCAAGGGGCAGTGATCACCAGTGGCTGCAGCAGCTGCGGGATGATGGCGAGCACACAAGGAGTTGTGAGTCCATCAGACCAACTAGTACACCGCTTCTCCATTCGCCGTTCTCTTGCATTCTTTTGTTTAATCCGGTTATGTCTATCATTTTTCGACAGTGCCCGGTATCTTTGCTGGTGTGTTGCCAGAGTTTCATGGCACTCTTCTCAGCTCCGAAACCTCTCCACTCCTGCCCTCTGCAGTCTCGAATCTCCGCCCATTTATCAGCAGCTCCTATCTAGAGCGAGCAGCGGAAGACTGGTGGCAGCAGCAGCAGCAGTGGAGGAGTGAGACATAGCCAAGTGCCGAGCCAACAGCATGGACAGCAGCGGTGCCAGTGGTGGCACCGTCAGACAGTTGCAACGTCAATGGCAGCTGCAGTGGCGGCTGCAGCAGAAAAGGAGGAGTGGGTGCAGCTTATCCTATCGTAACCAAGCTGCCTCTTGTTGTTGGTTGTTGAATGCCGCCCGTGCTCCTGTCAGGGTGTCTCAGAGCTTACCCGTCTCCCTTCACCCTTGGCCATGTGGCTAACATGATCCCCTTGCCTCCCTCCCCCCTCCATGGCCAGGCCAGCACACAAGGAGTTGTGAGTCCATCAGCACCACGCCAGGAGCACCACGCCAGGAGCACCACGCCAGGAGCACCACGCCAGGAGCAGCACGCCAGGAGCAGCACGCCTGGAGCAGCACGCCTGAAGTTAAGGCGTGGCGCAGGAGTGGGAGAGCAGTGAAAGGAGCATGGTACGTGCCGGGGGTTGCTTGCGGGGGGGGCGTGAACTGTCATAGGGTGTCGCCGCGCCAAGGCAAGAGTCGTGTCTGTTGCTTGTGGGTCCACCACTCGCCACCTGCTGCTTCTAACCTTCTTCTATGTGTGTCTCTCTCTCCCCGTGTGTGTGTGTGCCTCGTGGCCTGCAAGATGGAGAGAAATGGCAGCACGTGGACGCCTTGTCACCAAATATAGTGATAAAGAACAATATATTCGGTTATACGCTAGAGTTGGTGTAGCAGGGTGTAGGTTGTGGTTATGCAACTTTACGGAAGGGTTGTTGGGCTTCAGGGGAATGACGCGAAGTTGGTAGCATGGGGAATTGGGACATTGGGAAGAGGAGTAACAAGCGCCTCGAGGAGCAGGAAATCTGCAGCGACCAGTAAGGCATAAGGCGACCCAAACCCAACCCAAGGCAATGGTAATGGGCGTGACTCTGGGTAGGGAATAGAGTAGCCTAGCCTAGCCACTAGAACCTGTTCTCTCGTTTTGTTTGCCTACTATAGTGGATTTACTTCACCGTTCTAAGGCTATAAGCAGCTAGGTGATACGCCACTGAGGGCAACCAGCTTGTGGGAGCAGGAATCTCTCACAAAACGAGAGAAGTTGACCGGCGACATGGATCGCCACGATCTGCGCATGCAGCGGACGTACTCGCGGCGGGAGCGATCTCCGTCACGGATGAGGCGCTCCAGGGAGCGTGGGAGATCGCCGAGGCGCTCACCACGACGGGCGGCGTATCGCGCGGATCCGGTGACGCCAACGGGCGTGCGACAGGAAGGAAGCGGGGAGGATCTGCGCGTCAGATCAGAGCCATGGAGGCGGCCCGCGAGCAGCAACCCGTGGAACCTGGCGGAAGGCCAGCGCGGGGTGGATGAAGTGCGTCGCGATGGCGACGTGGACATGGATACTGCGAGCGAGCAGGGTGACGAGGAAGAAAGGGAAAAACCCCAGCCTGCTCAAGGCGGCGGAAGACGTGACATCGCCGGCGACGAGGAATTCCCTACTGAGCGGGGCGACGAAGGGCGCGACGCGGCCTACGACGAAGGATCCCCCACTGCGCGGGGCGGCGGAAGGCGCGACGCGGCCTACGACGAAGGATCCCCCACTGCGCGGGGCGGCGAAAGGCGCGACGCGGCCTACGACGAAGGATCCCCCACTGCGCGGAGCGGCGAAAGGCGCGACGCGGCCTACGACGAAGGATCCCCCACTGCGCGGGGCGGCGAAAGGCGCGAAGCGGCCTACGACGAAGGATCCCCCACTGCGCGGGGCGGCGGAAGGCGCGACGCGGCCTATGACAAAGGATCCCCCACTGCGCGGGGCGGCGGAAGGCGCGACATCGCCGACAATGGGCAGAATTTCCCTGCTGCGCGGGAAGAAGGAGGGCAGGGGTACGAGAAAAGGAATGAAGGAGAGCGAGTCCATCGCGGAAAGGCGCGGGAGAATGACGAAAAAGACAGAAATGAAGAGCACTCACCTGCTGGACGGCGCGAAGAGATGCCGCGTGGGAGCAACAAGGGAGCGGAGCGCCGAACGGGGGCACGCCGAGAAGAGGAAGAGGGGAAGAGGGCATCGGTGGGTGTCTTCCGCTCACCTGAGCCAAGGCCAGGCTATGACCGTGTATGGCGCATGGCGATGGGCGGAGCCCGGCGGGCAGATCGGGAAAAGCGGGAAGACAAGCTGAGCTATGAGGAGCGACGCCAGCAAAGCCCGCCTGAGTGGGAGCGGGAGTGCAACGGAGAAGGACGAGAAAGGGGCCGGGAAAGGCGATCACCGCACGGCTCCAGAGCAGAAGGCGGAGGTCAGCAGCGAAGGGAGCAAGTGCGGCATCGTCAGGAACGTTCACCTGCGCAGGGAGAGAGACGATGGGAAGATCAGGAAAGGTACAGGAGAGACCGCGAAGACGACCAGAGGAGAGGTGCGAGTCCAGATGGAACCAGGAGGCGACGGCAACATGGAGAAGGATCGAGCGGGGCTAGAGCAGCTCGTGAGGGGTTGGAGCAAGCACTGTACGGGACCAGCGCAGGAAGCAGAGGAGAAAAAGGGAAGCAGCGAGGGGCTGCCATGTCAGATCGGGGAGGTTCTGGGAGCTGGGACATGGGGAGATGGGGCACAACGGCAGCGCCACGGGTGGAGGTGCCGGTACGCTTCAGAGGAAACGAAAGCACGGGCCCGAGTCTCAAGAACTACTTGATGCAGATAAGCAATGTCAAGTACCGGTGTGATCGAAGCGGGATGGATCCCATAGACTTTTTCCTAAGCCTGCCAAACACGCTGGGGGGGGAAGCAGAAACTCTGTATCGCATGAAGATGGGGGAGTGGCTGAGAAGGGCCGATGAGGATGAGGACCCGACGGTGCTGTTCCTGGAGCGGCTGAGGAAGCAATTTCCGGGACACACAGCAGCACGCATCAAAGAATTTCAAGAGTTCAAGAGGAGGGACGAGGAATCCCTGCTGACGTATTATGGGCGGTTGATGAATCTAGCAGAAGACGTGGTGTGCACGGACAGCAGTATGATCATCAGTAAGTTTCTGAATGGGTTGGACAAGGGATTGGCAGGAGGACTGAGAATGCGAGTATATGAGCTAGGGGCGGACGCAACACCTGAGGAGGTGTTTGAGCTAGCAGAAAGAGTGGAGCTGGCGCAGAGGAAGTATGAAGTGTACCTGCCGAGGCCGACAGAGAGAAAGAATCCCGCTTGGGCTGCAGCAATGGTACCTGAGATAGCAGGGAGAGAAGAGAGCCGACAGGAGAGAGGAGCGGAGACACGCACCTGCCACAGATGCAAACAACCAGGGCATTTGGCGAGAAACTGCAGAAATTGCGACACCTGTGGGAAGCCAGGGCACCGACGAAAGGATTGTCTGGATGCACCCACCTGTGAGGTGTGTGGGAAGCGGGGGCATAAGGGGAAGGACTGCTACCAACGCACAGGAGGGCCAAGAAGGACGCCAGAGGAGATTGAAGGGCAGATAGGGAGATTGCAGGCACAGCTGCAGGCATTGGGTGGGAAGAAGGAGAAGGAGGCAGGCTTATATGCAAGGGAAGAGGATGACGAAGCAGAGGGGAGAGATGAGCCGGAGCCTGAGTACAACTTTATGGTACTGCGCAGCCGGGAGGAGTTGGGTCTGCGCAGCGGGGGCAGGGATGGGAGAAAGGAACACACGGTTAAGGAGAGGAGCAGGCCTAAGCGAGCACCAGAGGAGAAGGGTGAAGGGGAAGAGGAGCCGGCCAGGCATCCCAAGGAGCGGCTAGCTAGCCAAACGACGGTGCTGGTAGCAGGAGCGGGAACAGTAGCAGTGGGAGGAGAAATGGCAAGGACCGCAATCTTAGATACGGGGGCACAGAGCGTGATGCTGGGGAAGCGACTAGCAGAGAAGCTGGGGTTGACAGGACCGGGACAGCACATAAAACGAGGAATGCTAGTCATGACAGCAGAGGGAGGTGAGCCTGAGTGGCTGCCGTGCACCAAGACTCCAGTGGAGATAGTCCTGATGCCGGGGAAGGAGGAGCAGACTAGTATACGGCTGCAGTGTGGGATTTCAGACTCAGAAGATTTTGATGTACTGCTAGGCACAGACCTGATTTGGGGAGTAGGGATGACCATCTGCACGTGGAAAGAGAAGGTAAAGTTTCGGAAGAAGTACTGGGAGCGGGGAAGCAAGACGGGAGAGCTGCCCGTATCATTCACTAAGCAGGAGCCAAAGAGGGCGTACACGGCTGAGCAGACGATAACAAGGGAGAGAGGGAGAGCAGGGATCGTGGGTAAAGCAGCAGCGGTCAACGCATGGCAAGAGCCGATAAAGCTGGTCGAGCTGTTCGGGGGAATAGGAGCAGGGCTGGCAGCAGTGCTCAAGGCAGGAGTGGCCGTGAGGGAATGAATATACGTGGAGAACAATGAACAGGTGAGGAAGATGGCAGAGCATCACGCGAGAAAGCTGCAGAAAGAGTATCCCGAGCTACTGGAAGAGGCAGTGATAGTGAAGGCAATGCGAGGAACAGTGACTGATGTAAGAAGCATCACGCGGGAGGTGGTGAGGAGTTGGGGGCATGTGGACCTGCTGGTGGCAGGATGGGAGTGTCAAGCTGTGTCGAGGGCAGGGAAAGGAAAGGGATTAGGAGATCCAAGAGGGGCGCTGCTGGTGAACTTGCTGTGCATCATAGACTGGATTAAGGAAGGACAGGAAAAGGTGGCGTACCTGCTGGAGCACCTACACCTGGAAGGGGACTGCAGGGAGCCTGTCAGGAAAGTGCGGGAGTTAGTGACAAGGAAGCTGGGGAAGGGGGTGAGATGTGATGCGGCCAGGCTGGGGGCACGAGCTCATCGTGTCAGGCGATACTGGCAGAACGTTGTGTCAGATGAGCAACTGCAGCAGGAGCTGGATGGGATACGCAGGGACTGGAGCAGGACCGTGCGAGAGATTCTAGAGCCGGGCAGGACAGCGGCACCTGTTAAGAAGGGCAGGCATGAGACACAATGCCCATGCAACAAAGTGGGGGCAGAGCGCAGGGCGTGGCCAACATTAGTGGGGTACGAGGGGGCAGCTGGGTTCAGAGAGGAAGACGGGCTGCCAGGAGAAGGCATGATGTATGACTGCAGGACGAAGAAATGGGAGGAGCCGACTGCGTTAGAAAGGGAATTAGCAATGGGGTATGGAGAGGAGGCCACCAAGGCAGTAGGGGTGACAGAAAAGGAGAGGAGAAGAGCATTAGGACAGGCTATGGACGGACAAGTCATGCAGTGGTTACTGCGGCGGATATGGAGAGGGCTGGTGCTGGAAGAGGAAAGAGGAGAAGAGAGTGTGGGGACAAGGGTGAAAAACGTGGGGGCATGGGCATGCATGGCAGCCAAGGAAGAGCCAGTGTGGGTTGTGGGGAATGCAATGAGTGAGAAAGGAAAGGAGGCAATGCAGGAGGTGCTGGCAAGGTATAGGCATGCCTTCGCGTTCACCATGCAGGAGCTGGGGAAGTGTTCGGTGAAGGAGATGGAGCTGAAGCTGATGACGGATGAGCCGGTGTTCCAGAGGAAGCGGAGGATGACACCTGGAGATGAGGATGTCTGCAAGGAGAAATGTAGGGAGCTGATGGAAGCAGGGCTGATACAGAGATCGGAATCAGAGTATGCGACTCCCACTGTAGTAGCTGCCCGGAAGGACCTGCTGGGGGAGGTGCTGAGCAGACGCATGTGTGGGGACTATCGAGCACTGAACAAGGTGACAGTGCCCGACAGGTACCCAATGCCCACAGCCGAAGATATCTTTGACCGACTGGGGGCAGGAGAGATCTTCAGCACGCTAGACTTAAGGCAAGGGTTTAACCAGATTAGAATAAGGAAGGAGGACGTGCGGAAGACGGCGTTCCATGGTGCAGATGGCTTGTACGAGTGGCTATTCATGCCATTTGGGCTGAGAAACGCGTCAGCCACCTTTCAGAGGGTGATGGATAACGTGCTGCGGGTACTGGAGTGCGCGGCATGCTACATAGATGATGTAGTGATTTTCAGCAGGACGGAGGAAGAGCACGTGAGAGATGTGGAGCAGACACTGAAGGCGTTGGCAGCAGCTGGGCTGACATGCCATCCGAAGAAATGCAGGTGGGGAGAGGCAACCGTGCAGTACCTGGGGTATGAGGTGAGGGGCGGGCAGCTAGGGATTCAGCAGGCGAAGATTGAGGTGCTGAACGGGCTGCAGCAGCCAAAGGACAGGAGCGGACTAAGGGCGGTACTGGGATTTCTGAGCTATTACCGCAGGTTCGTCCCGAATTTCAGCAAGCGGGCTGCACCACTAAACGGGCTGCTGAAGGAGGACAGAAAATGGGAATGGGGGATGGAGCAGGAAGCAGCATTGAAGGACCTGATGGAGGCGGTGCAGACGGCGACAATCCTGCAGCTGCCCAAGGCTGACAAGCCCTTCTGCCTATACACCGACTGGAGTAGCCAAGGCATGGGGGCAATCCTGTGTCAGGAGTTAGATGGAGAGGAGAGGGTGGTGGCATACGCAAGCAGGAGCTGCAGCCCAGCGGAAGCCAGGTACAGCTCTTACCACGGGGAGGGGTTGGCAGCCATGTGGGCTGTGAAACACTTCAGGGTATACCTGCAGGGGAGGGAGTTCACACTGATTACAGACCATCAGCCATTGCAATGGCTGATGACCCACCAAGGGCTGACAGGGAGGAACGCGCGTTGGGCCGTGACACTGCAGGAATATGACTTCAAGATACGCCACAGGCCGGGGAAGACTCTGCAGCACGTAGACGGGCTCTCAAGGAACCCGCCGGTAGCAGAGCCAGTGCACACGCTGATGTTGCTGGCTAGGCAAGGGGAAGAGGCAGCAGCAGGGAAGCAAAAGGGGCCAAAGGACATTTGGGAAGATCCAGTGGCACTGCAATGGATTCAGGGAGAAATTGATGAGGATGAGCAGGTCTCTGATAGGGTAAGGGCAAGAGGGCACCATTACCGATGGTATCAGGGACAGCTGCAGTTACAGTCGGTGGATGGGTGGAAGCTGGTACCTGCGCCGCAGGACAGGGAGGGAGTGATTAAGGAGGTGCACAGGAAGCTGGGGCACTTTGGGCATGAGCGCACGACGGAACTGTTAAAGACCGGCTGGTGGTGGGAGGGAATGAGAAGGCAGGTCAGGGAATGGGTTAGCGGGTGCGAAGGTTGCCAGAGGAGCAAGGCCAGCCTAACACAGGCGAAGCAGGAGCTGCAGTCGCTGCCGATAAGAGGGCTAGGGTTCAGGTGGTCTCTTGACATAGCTGGTGAGCTGCCGCTAAGCAGGGGAGGCAAGCAGTACATACTGCTCATGGTAGAACACGCGAGCAAGTGGCTAGAAGTGTGTGCGCTGCCGAGCAAGGTTTCCAGGCACGTGGCAAAGGCATTCAAGGGACAAGTCCTGTGCAGGTTTGGGGCACCAGGGGAAGTGCTCACTGATCAGGGGGACGGAATTCAGAGGGGAATTTCAGGAATTGCTGGACGGG